GGAGGTTAAATCAGTTTACGATTGTGTAAGATGTGCCTTACTCTAGAGCAAGAATCATGGATGATCAGCTACCTGCACTGTTCCGTGATTCCAGCGCAAAATCCACTTATCAAAGTATAGGAGTGAAATCGAAAACACAAGAAAAAAAGACCACAAAACCAGATATTGTACGCTGTCACCCATTCATTTAGTGACCTCTGCCAACAGTGCTTCACTTTAGTTAGGAGCGCAAGCACGTGGCTGATTACCATAGGAGACTTCGACGACGACGAAACTCAACCGAATTTTTGCCGTGGTCTGCCTGTGGCATCTCACGTAATTAGGCCGGAAATATTGATTAATTATGAATTCAGCTGAAAATAGCTCTAAGACCTAGACATAAATTTCCATTTTCTTATTCATACTGTCTGCCTTTTCTTTTGCTAATTAGAGAGGCATTTGACGGGACTGGTTCTGGATCACCCTTGACACTCTCTTTGCATGGCAAAACCTCGAAGAGTCCCTGGAATTTTGGGCCTCATTGCCTTAGGTATCACAGCATGCATCGCCATAAGGGCCCTTTGTAAGTATTCTGGCCTGGTTGCTTTTCAACCCCCAACAGAAACTAGAAAGGGAAAGACAAACATTTTGATTATTTCAAATGCAAGATCAGGATCATCGTATCTTGGGCAAATTTTCAATCATCACCCGCAGGTCTTTTATATCTATGAACCTTTGATAACATTTCAAGTGACATCTGTGCGTAACTCTTCACTCTACGAACAGACGGCACTGGGCCTCCTACGCGACATTTTCAACTGCAGATTTAAGCAGCAAACAGAGTTTTTATCTTTCATGTCGCATATGCAGCTCAATCGCTTTTCAAGCCACGCCTTTACCTCGCCCTATTGTAAAAACATAACCAACGCGAAGGATAATCGAATTACTATTTATTGCAAAGACTTGGATCCCCTCATAACTTCTTTGTCCTGCTCGCTTCATAGCCACACAGTGGTGAAAGTTCTCGCTCATAGATTGCCATTTCTAGACGTTGATCGTCTTCAACGTTTATTGGCTCGCGATCGAGATAATTTAAAAATCATTCACCTGATGCGAGATCCAAGAGCTGTCATCGCTTCTATGGATCGTGTCGGCTGGGGTTTGGAAACTTCAGCAGTGAAAATGGCTACGACAAACTTTTCTCATTTTACCAATCTTGTGCAAAAGTTCTGTTCTAATTCGATAAGAACGCTGCGATTGGCTCTGCTGGCTGAGAGTAAATTCCCAGATCGCTATAAACTTGTCAGATACGAGGATCTGGTAAAATTACCATTAAATGTTTCTCAAGGACTATTTGATTTTACCGGCATTCCAATGTCGGATCAAGTCATGAACTATCTAAACAGTGGTACACAATCACGTGACAGTGGGGCCAATCACGCGTATGGAACACTTAGGAAAAATGCGTCTCTGTTGATAGACGCTTGGAGAAATCAATTCAGTATTGAAGCCGTACGAATGGTGGAGTCACAATGCTGGCCAGTTTTGGAAATACTTCGGTACACACCTATCCATAGCCCGGTTCTGCTAGGCACGTGACAGGCACGTGCAAAAAGTCGACTACGCACGCGATCTTGGTTACAAATCCAAAGGGAGAACACAATAGGCAAATAACTCGTCCCACCCCTCCCCCTTCAATTGCCTCTGCAGTCGTTTTTTCATCTTTCGGCCTAGGCGTTTAGGGTTAACAGTGACCGGGAAAGTAGATTGTGACAGGTTTCCTGGCAGTAAGGCAAAAACAAAAAGCGGGTGTGCATGAAATGATGGGAAGGTCTCATGTCCTCATCATTTCCCATGACAACTTCCAAGCATTATTTGCTCATCATCTGTTTCCCTCATCCCCACTGGCTGAGAGTCTGGAACAGGCTACCAGTGACAGAGATGTGAATTTCCCAGAAAGCAATTTTGCTTTGAAAATACCACAGAAAACAAGAAATATCAGACACTGGAAGGGCAACATTTGTGGCAAAGAAAGACAAAATGCCTTAAATAAAAAAGAATGCCTTAAGCCAAAAAGAATCAGTTTCAAACGTTAGTACAATATTATTTCAAACAAGGTTACCAAGTCTCAGGTCATACTATGGTTTCAAGACAACATTTAATACCAGATGATGAAAGAACAAATGAATTTTTACAACAAAGTGCATAAATCAACAGTCACTGGATGTAGTTGGTTACATGAACTCTACCTGGCCAATTAGGGAACAACTAATTCACCAACACCATTAGCACTTGATGTCTAGCTTGGCTTCTTTTGTTCTTTGACCATCATGATCTAAAAATAAACAAACAAGAATTAAAGCTATCACAACAGTTCTAAAAAGTAATGAATGCAGGTCTCACTGTACAGCAAGTTTGCCATGGGAGGGGAGGAAAGGGGGGGAGGGGGGGAATTGAGAAAGGCTTAACCCTTCAACCCCTGAAGGTAACTTGCATCTAATTTCTCCCAAAGGTATCACTGCTAAAGAAATGATCAAAAACTTAAACAGCTCATGATTTTTAGTTCAGTACTCCTTGTCAGTGACATAAACCAATTGCAGAGTTGCTTGTTTTCCTGTGAAGTTCACTAGCATAGAAATTCCAGTTACAGGACACTTACAGGGCAGAAGCCTGTGGCAACAGATTTTAAGTTTTCCTTTCACTACATATCTGTATATCGGACTCTAAATATTTTTATGGAACTTACTGTGGTCTTCTCTTTCTCGTTTCAATTCAACACCTCTTCTTTTAATATCAGCAAATGCAACAGATTCTGGTAACTTGAATGACACACAAACCATAGCCTTTTTTGGTGCAACATCACGTACACAGTGAACGCTGTATTCACTCTTAAGGCTAATTCCCAAATTCTTTTCCACTTGCTGCTTGGCATCATCTCCTGGAGACTGGGACTTGGAGAAGCAATAACAATGAATCATTGGGAGCACTAATTGTTTGTGTGAAGTGTAGAGACCATGGAAAACATCAAGAAACTCAACTGCACTAGCAGGTAGATTCATGACAACATGTGTAAAGGGTCTGCTGTAACTTCCTTGAATGCTTTGATCAGTAATTGACGATTCTAATAATGATGATGATGAAGACAGCTGAACCATTTTTCTCACAAAGTCCCTCCCATCCAAATTAAAAGCATGAATTTTATCCTTCACATGATTGATTTTTGCATTTTTTAATAAAGCCTCATAGGATGCAGGATTCAAGTCATTGGCATAAATAATGCATCCTTTCTTTGCCGCAGGAATAGCAAATGGACCAACTCCTGCAAACATGTCACACACAACATCACCTGAATCAAATGATTCAACAAGACGCCTGTGCTCTGTTTGAAGGCGAGAATTCCAATAAACTTTGGAAAAGTCAAACTCAAAAATACAGCCATCTTGTTTCACAGAGGTGTAGAAGTTGCTCTCCCCAGCTAACACTTCCATCTTGAAGAAGCGGAAAGTATCATGGATGGTGTTTGTTTTGTTCACAATAGTTTTGATCTGAGGGGAATTCTTGTCTAATATCACTTGCCCTGTCAAAAATAAAGAGAAAACCAATATGAACTATCAATTAAAAGATGCAGAGCTCTTAAGTCTCACACATTGAGCACAAGACTCACACTAATGAAATCAATCTTACACTTTAATGCTGAAGCTACTCTTTCTCACACATTTCAGGTTTTCCGATTAAACTGTTGAGTTTGAGATGGCAAACTACTATTTAGCTAACCCTTTAACTCCCAGAAGTGATTAACATGTAACTTCTCCCTTAAGTATCCATAAATTATCCAGCAAACAGGTAATGAGAATATTCAAACTTATCAGGTACAAGATATTATCTTGATCAAACACCAAAAAGAATTGGTATTAGATCAATATAACTTCTACCTGATAAGTTTGAGTGTTCTCATTACCTGTTTATTAGATAGTGTGTGGATAATTTATGGAGAAGTTACACCTTTATCACTTCTGGGAGTCAAAGGGTTAAGTACCACTAAAATTAATTTACCTTCTCAATATAATTTAATCCTAGTTCCCTTTGCACTTGCACCCAACACTTTCCAACAATAGCAATTTTCACTCAGAATAAAGGACTGTAATACTTCAATGTGAATACAAAGATACTTCATTTTTTCACAATTCTCTAGGCAGGATGCCCCATAACCCTCCCCCCTCCCAAAGGAAGGGCATGCTGCAGTACCACAATCAAAGGCTGAGTGGTCGAAAATCTCACTATTGCCAGCAAATAAATTCTCATATGTCGGGTTGGAATGGGTGATAGAGGTGATTACTAGGTTAGTTCTGTGAAAGTTCATATGAGAAGATTGCAAGGTCTATGAATACCTACCACAAGCTCGACATTCATGAAGAGATGCATCATTCGTAAAATCCCTCTCCTCCAAAAAAATGCATACATGAAGAAAAAAAAAGATGATCATCACCTACCGATTAGTGATTTGAACTCTAATTGCGAATCTCGTAAATTCAAGTGTGCTATGTGACCGATTGTCTCGAAGGATGAAGGTATTTCATCAATCTCATCCGGTAATATGGCTCTTAAAACTTGCTCTGATGTCCAATGTTCGTAGCCAAGTACCAAATCGTAAGTCGTTTCTTCTGCTCCCTGATTTTGAGCGAATTCTCGATCCTCTTCTCCCAAGGTTTTCAACGAATTCATTGGATGTAGAAGGAGAATCTTTCTACTTGTTTCACTCACATCTGGGACAATGTTTCTCATACGAGGTTGGTTCAAAAGGCATTTGTTTAGACGTTTTAAAAATAGTGAACACTTTTTGGCTCCGATTCGAAGAGCTGGAAGGGTGATGGTAGTTCTCAAAGCCTCTCTATCCAAGATCTTCATTCCTTTCACAGTACTTGGAGGACTAAAATATCTTGATAATTTCTCCATGATCGCTTTATTGAGAGAGAAATTTGACGGAGTTTTCAGCGGTTTCTGTTTATCCTGGAGTACCGTCATGTAAGAACATCTCACAACTTTGTCATCTTGCTTTTGAGGCGGAAATGAAGGAACGCTAAAATGTCCTGAATTATTTTTCCTTTGCTATGGCGGCCGATGTCCTGCAACGTATCCATCCCGAAATTGCAAAATTTGCCGAAGCCGTGCTTAATAATGGAGGTATTGGAGTTTGCGGTGAACTGCTGAAGATTGTGGAGCCCAAGTCAAGGTACTCGATTAGATTTTCAATTTACGTCAAGCAACATTTTGACGAATTTCACCCATGAAATTCAGGGTTAGTCATGGTTCTTATTGGTCAACTACGTAGCAGTGTTTTTAAGGAGTATTTTCAATCCCAATCTAAAGCTGTAATTGTTATTGGACTTCATCATTTTTTCTGTCTTGTTTGTGTTCGATAGTTTGTCTTTCATTAACCCTCGTATTAAAACAAGATCCTGCGATCGATTCAAGGTTGTGGTTCCATATGCTGGTAGAACTCTAAAATGTAAGTAAACAGCAACTTAGGTGTGCACTTTTTTAGTCATTTAGTCATGTTTTAATTGCTTTTTTATTTCCTAGGAATTGAATACATTTTGACTGAATGTGTCATAAACTCCGTGTATGAGTTGCCTTTCGATTTGATTTTTTATATTACCTGTTTGTTTTATTGTTGTTGTTTATTTTTTGCAGGGGAGGTAATATTTAACCAGATGCAACCAGATTTTCCACCAGATTTTATATTTGGACCACAAGATCAGGAATTTGTACCAAATATTGATAAAATGGAGGTATGGGCAAGGTGAAAAATCAGAAATTCTCAAATTGGCACTTCCCATCAAATAAGCAATTTTTACATCCAACTGGGAGCTGCCGCTACTTAATGCTTAGGGTTAAGTGAGTGGCTGGACTTGGGGTCAAAAAGTCTGGGTGCCAGACCTGGCTGAGTCAATGTGTTGTGTTCTTGGGAACTTTTTTCTCACAGTGCTTCTCTCCACCCAGGAGTATAAATGGGTACTGGCAATATGTCAAGGTTGCCTGATGAAGTGCTTGGGGGGTAATCTTGGGATAGACTGGCATCCCATTGGGGGTGGGGAGGGTGGGTAGTAAGACTCCTAGTTGCTTTATGCCAAGGAAACCCAGATAAGGTCCAGCTGAATGGCCAACATGGCTTGAGTACAGACTTTGATAGCCATACTAAATTATGTCTCTTATTAAAATGACAAATGCTATTTTCATTTACCAACTGCGACTTCTGAGGATGCATGATGTTTTAATCTGGCTTCCAAGGTGAAGGTGGTACCATTGATAAGGCAAGGCTGGAGTGTTCATTTTGAAAACATGGTTATCAAGATCTCAGTCATAATGTCTGAGTCAGGTCTTGGTAATGGGGCTAGCTTGCCTTCTCAATGGTTTCTGAAGCCTGGCAAGGCAAGAAATTGGAAATTGAGACAGACTGGTTGACCTTGTTACTACTCTCTAAAAGTATGCTTTTTTTAATCATTTTTACTCCATAGTCTCTTGAGAACTGGGACTGTAATAATCCTGAAAGCTTAGTAAATCTGATAAAAGAACTGATCAGGGAGTACAAAGAACATCAAAGAGAACAAGTGGAGAAAATCCCGAGAATCCACTTTGAATACACCACACTTGCAGCTGACACCAATTATCCTGAATTCGAAGTACATGTTTTAAAAGGGCAACAGGTGAGGTGAAGGTTTGTGTATGCAAGCTACAGAAAGTCACACCCTTGAACAAGAGCTCCCTAGTAACGAGAAGTGGAATGGGTCACAAACTATACAGATTGATTTTGATAACAGGTTAAAATGGTAATTGACTAAAATCACATTTGAAAATTATCATAATACTTGTTAAAATGCAACTGGGTTCTGATGATTCGTTTCTTTTCTCAGAAGACAGACTCTGTTGTCAATTTTATGATAAAGCTGCCAGTTGATCTCACTGGAATCCCGCAATTTATTATAAGGGTAAGATTGTTGTGTTTTATTTTTGATTCCTGAGAAACAGAGCTGAAAAACAACTATTAGACTAAGTACTGGTGTGATATCTTTAATAATTTTGCTTATGTCACAAAAATTGAAATTTACCATAATAACTTATGATATGAAAAAGGTTTTACTGATCATTGTGATGATCCATATTTAATTCTTTGTTTGTCAGGACTGTCCAGGTGAAGACATGGCATGCTTGTTTGTTTCTTATGCATCTCTTAATGGAGAGAATGTTACACCAACACTTTTGTTATCACCCCGTGTAGAAAGGTGAGGTTTTTGCGCAGAAATGGCCACTAAATATGAAAGATATAACAAACTTCAATATGCATCTTCATTAATTACTTGGAATACATATGTGTAAAAAGGTTCAGGCTGCTGTAGTCACATATTTAGTAAATCTAAAGGCAAGTTTTTAAAAGTAAATTCACTCCATGGAATCGTCAGCGTAGTAAAATCATCAGTTTTATGTGTAATACTTTTCATAACAGATGAAATTTGTATTTTTTTTTGGATATTATACTTTTACAGTCAATTCATTCAAACTCATACTTATTTTACAGAGCATTTGGTGGGACCAGCAATCTTCGTATTCCTCATTGGTTGGGGGTGAATGGCTGCCTTCTGGAATACCTACCTCTTATCCAGGAACTCTTTGCACAAAAGGTGAGGTTGAAAGTGGTATCAAAAGTTACCTCTCAGGGCTCTAAGCTCAGACTTTCTCAAGGTCACAGTGTTATGGCCTTAACCCTTTACTCCTTAACATCAGTATGGATATTCTCCATAACACTCCTTACATTTCTTAGGGTTCTGACAAGGAGAATTTGTTCATCAATCAAGAGCTTCTTTAGTTGGTGATCATCTCCTTTATTCTCATGACTTAAATGTTTGATTCAGGGGAGATGTTGTGAGGAGAAATTAGATGTTAGTCACTCTAAGGGGTTAAAGGGTTAAATTATAAAAATAAAAAAAAAAAAAAAAAAATGCAATCAAAAAAGTGGCAAAGGGAAGTCAATGCAATATTTTGTGACATGCTATATACCCTTGTAAGTCTGAGTTGAAGTAACTGTGAGCTGACAGAATAATGAGCAAAGGAAAAACTTAAACTGTGAAAACCTCAAAGTTAGCCAAGAATTTTCCTCAGCTATTATTAATATTTGCATCACTCAGGAGGATGAGTTTACTTTTTAATTGCGTGATTAGTCTCTGAGGTTACTGTTAGAACATGTTAACCCCTAAGAGTGACTAATATCTAATCTCTCCTCACAATATAACCCCTGAATCTAACATCAAGGTCACGAGAATTTAGGAGATGATCACCAACTAAAGACACTCCTGATGTTTAAACAAATTCTTCTTGTAGGCGCCTCAGGAAATGTATAGAGAACAGTATGGAGAATATGCATACTGATGTTAGGGTGTTAATATATAATTACATTTTGAAAGGTGGAGCAAGTTTGTCAGGCATTCCACAAAAGAAGGGAATATGTTGCAGCTTTCCTTAGTGCATTTGGAAGGTAAGGCATAGTTTACAATCCAGTCAAATCATTTGCCAAATGTAGCTTACTTTAGAGTAAGTCTTGTAAATAGGATATGACTTTTTAGGTTGTATATATATGTTATTTACCAGACAGGAGGTCTGTATGGGAAAAAACTGTGCCTGTCCTCTTGATTACAGTTAAAGGCCAAGGGTCACCCTCAAGACCAGGGGAACAGTTTTTCTCCCATATGGACTAATCTACCCCCTACTAATTTAATTTTTCTACTGGCTTGCATTTTCCCTGTATTGCTGCAAATGGTATGGACAAATTCTGGACCATGGTCTGTGGTGGAAAAAGTTGGATTACTTATGGGCTCATGATCAGGATTCTGGCTCACTGATATGCTTCAGAATAAAACAAAGGGTAGCATGTTATAATATCTAGAGACAATTTTTTTTTTGGTAGTTCAGTGCTTGAGTATGATGCTGAGGGATTCATGAAGCTCTCCTTGCTGTTCAAAGTACAAGGATTCTTTTGTATTGTTCACAGTAAGTGCTATTTCTGGTACAAGTATAAAATCGAAATTAAACGACACATCTTCCATTTTGACACAAAGAAGTGAGACATACTGAATAGAAATCAGTCCGGCACTTACAATGGGAATTGGCCAAAGGGTGCATTTTGATTGAGTGATGTATGGAGTGAGTGAGGATTAAATATTATCACCACTCGCTTCATTTTTCTTTTCAGTTGAATTAGACAAGAACTTTCCCCAAGAAGCGCCACTATTTTACCTCCAGTCGATTTACCACGAAAAAAATAACCAGCCGTACGAAAAACTGGAAGCGGGTTACCCCTACAGTCCACGGTGGTCTGGGGACGAGATGGCGGAAAGAGCTAGGTATTCTTGTCTCCTTTACTTACATACTGTTCAAATGAACAGATAGTGTGATATGTCCAGAAAGGACTGAGGCCTCATTCACGGAGAAAGGAAACACTCAACGAATAATAGAACGGATCTCAGCTTTAAACCAACCTATTTTGTTTTGTTTCCTGATATTTTCCATGCCTTACTTTTAAACCAATAATATCACGATTTTAAATGTTAATATGGTAAAGATTGAAAAAGTTAAAGTAAGCGAAAAAAAACAGCTCCTTGCGGCAGCAAACTACCAAAGCTTTCAAGAAACGGGCCATTGGTCTCTTTGGAACAATGTGACTGGTATTTCATGAATTGCCTAGGGACGGGTCATTAATAGGAGTACATTATAGACTTGTTACTTAAGTGTTAGGTGTTTCGATGGAGAATGAATATCGAAGCCGACTATGGTGTCCGACTGAGTTAAATTCATGACATGAATGAGATTATTGTAAGATCTTACCCTCTTTGGGGAACCTTTCTAAAGTACATTTTTTTTCTTTTTCAGAGCTTTCCTGTTGGAAAAGATACCAGCTTTTAAGGACGCTTCATTAAGTAACGCCAAATTTTAACCTTAACACAATACAAAAGTCAAGGAGTTTTTGTGGAGCGATCGTTCTAAGATTCTGGCCACTATGGCGAAATGTTGCTGAGTCGGGATTTATGAAGAAACTCTCCTCAGTCACTGAACGAACTCATCAAGTGGCTCATACAAAAGCGTTAGATAGTAATCGTAGATCAGATCACTCTCGACGGGCTTGATGGTTGTTGGAGCGGAATAAAAAGAAGTGTGCAAGCATGCCCTCATTATAAGCGCTCCAGAACGTGCGTTTCTCCGCCCGCCGGGAAGATTTGAGACGAGTTGGAAAGGGTTTTCCGAGGGTCTGGCACAAATAATTAGTGCCAGACCCCTTACAGACCTCTCACCGGCGCGCGTTGCTCAAGGGCTTTAAGTGCTTATATTTTCGAGCGGCCGAAGAAATGCACGTGCCGAAACGCTTGTAACGAGGGCCTGGCCACGAGATGATTTATATAGGGGACTTCAAATAAGATTCTCTTTTGACATTTTCTCCCTAAACAGAGACGCATGTAGTAAGTCTCGCTTTGTTGAAATTTTTATATCGCTTTGTTTGGTTCTTTTTTGTTTGTTTGTTGTGTTTGTTTGTCTGTGCGTTTGTTTTGTTTGTAAAGAGATAAACTAAATTGAAATACATGCAAACGTTTAATTGGCCATGAACCACGATTAATTTTCCCTTTGGTCACATTGCTCACTTTCTCAAAAAAGACCAACATATGCTGCCATGCAGTATCATTATTTCTCATGTCATTCCGTACTTTCTGAGAGTATAAACGGCTTGCTTCTAATCATAAACATCGAAGAAGAACGAGTAAAGAATTAAAGATGCCCTCACCAACATAAACAAGATTATTTCTCCCGCGTTTCCCCTTCCCCTCAAAAACAGATCAGCTTAGTTTTCTGACGTCTCCTCTTCCCTGAAAAACTGATGAGATTAGTTTTCACACGTTTCCCCTCCCCTCAAAAACTGAGATTAGTTTCTCGCGTCCCCCTTCCCCTCAAAAACTGATGAGTTTAACTTTCACACGTTTCCCCTCCCCTCAAAAACTGAGATTAGTTTCTCGCGTCCCCTTTCCCCTCAAAAACTGATGAGTTTAGTTTGCCTGCGTCTCCCCTACCCCAAAAAACGGATGAGGTGAGTTTTCCCGCGTTTCCCCTCCCCTCAAAAACAGATGAGTTTAGTTTTCCTGGGTCTCCCATTCCCTCCAAAATTGAAGGCAAATCTCCACAGAGATCCTTACAGCACCCGATTGGTTGTTACTTTCGCGCGAAAATTCAACTTCAAGAGACACTTGACCCAGGCAGTCACATTAACGTGATCAGTGGCTGATTTTTGTTTTCTTGGTTTTTTCGGTTTCATGTCACGTTTGTCTGAGTAGTAACTCCCTATGACTGAAAATCCAAAGGTATTTATGCAAATCCAATTCACGTGTTAATTCAAGAATTTGCTGTGGTTGGAAATTTTCCTTCTTAACAGCACAAGTGGATTTCCCCAACTCCTCAGCATGGCATTAATTAACGTATATTCCTGGCCAATGAACAGTAACGAACATACTTTTAATGTCAGCCTTTATTCCTACTTCAAAAGAAAATCTGAATAAAATCTAGTTGAAATAAATGATTTTACTATCGATCCGTTGAACCCAATGAATACTCCAAATCTGCGAGACTAATCGACTCGCGTCTAATAATTTAATAAATTCAAACACTAATAAATACTTCTATCAAAAATATGTTCCACTATTTTGATTTAATCAATCGCCTAATAAAAATATGAGAACAATTTCATTCCCATGGAACAGACTAGTACTATTACAAGAAAACTGTCCATCAAAATTTTTGGAGAAAATAGAAAAACCTCTGTCATTTTTCGCTACGTGATTATCTCTGAACAACAAAACGTCTAAGCTTGAATGAACCAAAGCCCAATAAGTAACGCTACCGGCAGGTGATTTCCATCAATTCGACTTTATCTTTCTTCTGTCAATTTGGTCTAATACCTGAACTGACGTCAATTACGATTAACAGAAAGAAATATGACATGATATGAGATATGATATATAAGATATGAGAACTTGTTGGTCTATTGGTTAATATACTAAGAGGAGCCACACCTTGGAATAAAAAAATTGCCTCTGCTTCGACCTCCGGTGGAAAAGAAAACTATGATTTAAAGTTTCATTCATATCTACGCTGTTCTCAGCTTCACTTTTGCTAGAAAGCAAAACGTTAACAAACACTCAAAGTTCTTCGACTATTCGACAAAGCTTTATCCTAATATTTGCATCTCCATTCATTATTCCTGTTTTTTATGCATGCAGTAACATGTAGAAAGAAAAGTCGACGTACAACGCCTCGTCAGTCTTTTTTATTCCATGTCAGGATCTGTTAAAAGCGCAGAGGTCTATACCTCACTTGTCGTCGACCCTTTGTTGTCGGACGGGCGATCTGTCAATTAAACAAACGATATGTTATTCATTCCTATACAGACGAAATAAAAAATTGTGATTCATTGGATTTGTCTGAGCCTTTACCCTCCCAAGATCTGATTGTTAATTCTCACCTCTAACTGCTACATATTTCCTTGTAAACTACTTACGAGAATTTAGAGTTAGATCAAGATAACAACTTCTATTCTCATTACCTGTTTGCAAGATAAGATATGAATAGTAAAGGGAGAAGTTACATGTTCATCACTTCTAGGAGTTAAAAGGTTAAGATGTAAGTCAAAAGATTATTTTTACCTAAGTTTATTTTTTTTAACACTGGCACGTTGTTTTACATTACAGATATAAATTAAAAAAATGAAATAATTAGGGTCGTAAAATGATGTTTTCATTTTTACAACTGTGTGTTGAAGTTATCTCATTTTTAGAACTCATTTAAGACGAAATCGAATGTCGTTTGTAATACTATGTAGCCTCTTTCGACTTCGGATCGAGCCAAAGACACTGATTTGTTAAAACGCTTGTAGAATCTTTCAGATTTCTGCTAAGTTATGCAAATTATGGCAATTGATATTTAAACATCACCGGAATAACTCGATTTTATTCCAAAAGGAAAGAAAAATAATATAATTAGGAAAATGAAGTAACATGCAGCCGTTTCGAAAATGGGTATTTCAGTATTATCAGTTGAGTTCATAACATAGGTTGACCACGGTAAAGAGTTTCAAAGCAGACTTTTCGAGCGTTCGCCCTCGTCTGAGCAAACGACATTCGCTCTAACGAAGGGCAAACGCTCGAAACGTCAGCTTTAAAACTTTCTACGGTGGCCAATTTACGTTATCAACTCAGTTGATAATACTTAATTACCCTGTTATACTCTCCGACCAACGCAACACCAAAGTTTCTTAAGAAACTTACCCCTTTACCCGTTTCAAAAGTGGCCTGTTTATACTCGAGACAGCGCTATACTGTAGAGTCCAACCACTCGAGGTAGGAGGGGAGAAGGGGAGAGGGGGAGAGGGGGAGAGGGGGAGAAGGGGATAGGGGAAGAGGGGAAGAGGGGGAGAGCGGGAGAGGGGAGGAGGGGAGAGGGGGAGAAGGGAAGAGGGGGAGATGGGGAGATGGGGAGAGGGGGAGAGGGGAACAGGGGGAGAGGGGGAGAGGGGAACAGGGGGAGAGGGGAACAGGGGAAGAGGGGGAGAGTGGGAGAGGGGAGAGGGGGAGAGGGGGAGAGGGGGAGAAGGGGAGAGGGTAACAGAGGAAGAGCAGGAGAGGAGGAGAGGGGGAGAGGGGGAGAGGGGAAGAGGGGGAGAGGGGGAGAGGGGGAGAGGGGGAGAGGGGAACAGGGGGATAGGGGCAAAGGGGCAGAGGGGGAGAGGGGAACAGGGGGAGAGCAGGAGAGGGGGAGAGGGGGAGAGGGGAAGGGGAGAGCAGGACAGGGGGAGAGGGGGAGAGGGGGAGAGGGGGAGAGGGGGAGAGGGGGAGAGGGGGAGAGGGGGAAAGGTCATTGGCTTTTGGGAACTCTTAGGAATTTTCAGCCGCCTTGTTGAGGTCAGGTAAAAGGTTCTGCCCCGCTTCCTTAAGATGGCCAATGATTAGCAATAACATTGTGGTATGTTACACTCAACACAGCGGTCAAACATCTCTGCACATGTGTGAGCGTTGTAGTGACTAGGGCGTGGCTTGGTGGCATGCTTTCAGGCTATCAAAACCAAGTTGTCATATAAACAACCACATAGGCAGGTAAGTCGTTCTGTTTAAACTGATTATTAAATAAGCTTTGAGCGTAAAAGCACACCACCTGATTACTACAACGTTCCCACATGCACAAACGTTTGACCACTGTGTAGGCAGTGTTCAGGAGATTTAAATTAAGCCCGGTCTATACTCCAGTGTATGGTTGTTTGTCTGTAGTTGACGTGGTCATAAGTCTGCTAGGCCCAGATACATGCACAATTCATGGCTCTGTCAATCCCAGACCTCTCCTCATACTGCCTGCATTCAAGTGGGAAAAAACACGAGCAGCCCTGGAGCTCCAAGGGCAGAGGGTAACAGTGCACATGAAAAAGTGTGGCTTAAATTGTTTGCTTTCACCCCATGTCCTCGCAAGGCTCAAGCTTTACTACTTTAACTACCATGAGTGATCAAGAAAAGTATAATTCTCCTCACAATAATACATATCTGTCTCCTCATAATATCTAATCAACATCAGGCAGGAAAGTGATGAGATTAAATAAAAATGTCAATAGGGGGAATATTAGTTAATCCAATACCAAATTCTCTGAACTAGCATTATAAGAACTGTATGGCAGACAGTACAGAGAATTCCTAATGAGATCTGGGAGTGAAAAGGCTAGTGAAACAAAAGGCTAGTGAAACAAAAGCCTGCTTCCACAAATACCCCAACTCCAATCTATTGTCGAGCTTGATTTATCTCAATGGACTTGGAAAAAAAATGGACAAATGCCTAACATACAAGTCTAAAAGAATTTCAATGTGTCTCCCTTGAAGACTGAGAAGTTGACAGCTGGGAAAAATTTTGACAATTTTGTAAATCAATGCTGCCTTGTATTAGCAATCAATGGCATGCACAGCAAGAAGTAAACATTTATGAAATATTATTTTCGCTTGTTTTTATTACTATTGTAATTACTATCATCCAGCATCATCATCATTATCAATAGGATCATCATTAGATAGCAAAATCAATTTTCTGTTATGTATTAACTATACATCTACAGTTCCAAATATCCAGTCTACAGTTCCAAATATGAAGAACATGAAATGTTGTTCCATTCAGAGAAAGGAGAAGTTACAGGTTAATCACTTCTGGGAGCTACAGGCTTAACCCTTTAAACCCTACAATTGACTAACATCAAATTTCTCCTTACAATATCACCCCTGAATCACACATTAAGGTCATGAGAATAAAGGAAATGATCAACTAAAGAATCTCTTGATTGCGAAATGAATTCTCTTTGTTAGCTCAGAAATGTATCAAGAGAACACTAAGGAGAATATGTATTCTGATATTAGGGTGCAAAGGGTTAAGCAATAGATATGGCAATGGACAGAATGATTATTCATCTTGGGTGATTTTTCTGTTCCACAATGGAACATGATTTTGTACTGTTTTACAGAAAGAACTCAATTGTTATGATTTTCTCTTGTTTTTTACAGGACTGAAAAAGATTGGGACAACTTTCTTATATTAAAACGTGTATTTTTTTTTTGTATTTTTCCTTTCAATATCACCCCTGAATCACACATTAAGGTCATGAGAATTAAGGAAATGATCACCAATGAAAGAAGTGATTGATTGGTAAACAAATTCTCCTTGTCAGCACTTTAGGAAATGTATAAAGAGCAGTATGGAGAATATGCATCCTAATGTTAGGGTGTAAAGGGTAAAGCCTATTAAACAATGAGTTAACTTTTAACTCAACAAAATGTTCCACTCAATTCATAAGAATTTGTTACACCTGCTTCAAACTCAATATATGATGCTGTAGCTTCCAACATCACAATTGTAATTCTATCTTACACTGCTCAATTTTCTTTGTAGACCAGAGTTATTAATGAATTTTGTATCATATCAAAGCAACACCTTAAGCTGATGAGTTGGTCAATTCCTATTTCATGCTGATAATAGAAATACTCAAGATTGTAGAATGAAGATACATGTGAATAACTTTTGAGAGCTGACGCTTGTAGTATGCCAATTATAGCCTACAGAAAAGGCATCATTTTTTTACATATTCAGGCAAATGGACATCAGTGCATAGTAGAAGTCACGCACAATTCATTTCTATGGCATTCTACTCTTGCATGTGACTTTCTCACCCCACCCCCCTCTCCCTACTTTTGTCTCACAATCGCCTCCTTGTGGAAGAATGATGCCTGTTTTGCAAGCTACCAGTGAAGACAATCTATGCATATTTTCTAGCAGGAATCACTCCTAATGATGAGAATTAAATTGTCTAAAGTTTTTGCTGCCAAGATTTTGAGACATATGATCAAGATGGAACTTCAGTTGGTAAAATTTCTTCCACTTTGGGTAGGCTAAGCCTACTACATCTAAATAATAGCAGCCAAAATGTTGAAAAATTCATGTTGAGAAAACCTTTAACCCCTTAACTTCCTAGATCTGATTGTTAATTCTCCCCCTGGCTACTTCCTAGGAAGTAACACAGTTATGAGTCAGAATTTAGTGAAAGATCAAGATAACAGCTTCTACCTGACAAGTTTGAGTATTCTCATTACTAATGCTTTCTGGATTATGTATGGATATTATAGGGAGAAGTTACTTGTTAATCACCTCTAGGAGTTAAAAGGTTTGCTTAATTTACTGCTGTGTTAGCTTAAACATAGGAAATGTGTGCATACTCTGAGTCAAATGTGGTTTCTGCGATATTTTCCTCCATTGGGGTCTTTGTCATTATTCCAATAAGATTGTCATGCTTACCTATGGACTCACCATCATGTTTTGGCGAAAACATCTTCTCTGTACTTCCTGTTGTTTCATGGTTTGCAGATCTTTTACTTTTCCAGTACAAGTTTTCCACATAGTAGTAAATCTCCACTTTCCTGGTGACATAAATCAACAGATATGCACTCATGAACAGGGCAAACGAAGACAGCATGTGCCAGATGTCATGGTAATCAAAGAAGTCCCACAAGACGCATTCTTCATTGCGAGAACGTGAGAAGCTTGGAGTAGAGGTTTTCTTTGTGGTGGACTTGATTTTGAAAAAATACATGGCAAAAACCCAGAAGAAGAAATTCACAATCATGAATAGCAAACGATGCCAGTTGCTCCAAAGGATCTCAAAAATGCGGCTCAGGCTACAAAGCTGTTTCATTCCACTGCGGAAATTTCCACCTTCACTTCTATGCCTCTTAAAAGACACAGCTGCATTAAAGCTCATCAAGCCGATGATAGTCAGAGCCACTGCAGCCACACACGAAAACAAGAAAAACTGAGACCAATCATCTCTCTGTTTAAAACCAATAATCAGCAAACAGAGTGGAAATATAATTATCCAGGTCCACTTCACAAAAGCTTCCACTGACCAGCATTTCTCATCGCTGCTACAATTCTTCCACCTGCATGGCACACCAACTTTCTGGAAGGTCCAAATATACATCACCACCAACCAAATGACCAAAGCAATCCAGTAGGCAACTTCAAAAAATTGTGGAAGACCATTGGTATCCCGCACAGATCCAACATAGTTAAACACCAGCAGTGGTGCAACAAAGAACAAGAAATATTTGGGTGCCTGAACTGTTGTTTCACTAGGGTGTTTTGAAGGGGCCTCATCATTATCCAGAAGATTTTCACTTCTTACGCGGCAGTTGTAAAGAGCAATCACAACTAAACCCGAGATTATAAACATAAAGGCAGAATCAAATTGAAATGTGAGTCGAGAAGGACAGAGGTGATATGTGGCTGAAAACAAGCCCTCAAAAACCAATGCCCAGGCCAAGGCATATGCCACAGAGTAATCATATGGCCTAAAACATTTGGCATATGTCCCTCTCACAGCATATTTGTGACCAGATTTATTTACCTCAAAAGTAATTGCTTCCCGGAAGGAAAATGACAAGGCCAAAAAGATACCATGAATGACATAAGGAACATTACTGAGCATGAAATTAGAGGGAAGGTCTGCTACAGCAATTGGCCTGTAACAAAGCTCATTGTAATAGCAGAGGTCACGATTTCCTTCTTCAATCATGTTTGACCAGCGTGCAATCACAAACTGGGCAGAGCCAACCATGAAACTGATGGCAAGAACTCCAGTCAAGTAGGGATATGTTTTTACACCTTGTTTAAACCATGCTATGCAGATAATTTCCATCCATCGCTTCAGAGGGATAGTCCTCCATGGTATTGGATCAGGCACATGTTCTAAGATCCCCTTGCTCGCAGTCCTTGCTCTCCCTTCAGCAGCAGTATTTTCCAAATGAAAAGGAACCTTGCACTCATCAAAGTCAGAGTTAAGAAAGAAATGAGCAAAAATGCTGATGGCAAGACCACCAAGTATAGCAACAATGCACATATATGCAGCAGGACGGGCTTTTCCAAGGGTGTCATATTTATATCCTTGAGTCACAGATACTGTCACCATCTTCTGTTGGTCACTATTTTTCTTAGTAAGGGAGCTGCGCAGTCCAATATACCAACGTCCTGTCATAATTTTGGGTCTTGAATACTGTGACAAAGTGATGCGTCCAGACTCTGTAAAGGTGAGTTGAATTGCTTGTTTTTCATCATCAGAGCTCTTCTCAGCAAGTCCTTCACTTTGCGTTGCAAAACAGCTTTGTGACACCACCAAGACACATTCCATTTCAGCATCATCTGATGACACAGTGATTTGAACTAATCTTGAGAGCTGATCCTCTGCAATGTCAAATGTTTTGACTTCAGTTAAGCCATCAGCACGAACAGAAACATTGGCTAATTCACCAGGAGTTAACACTGAGTTATCCAACTCAATCTCTAATTTAAAAGATGCATTTGCAGGAGCTCCAAAGAACAGTAGGTCAAGATCCATTGTACTTAAGGGCTCTTGCATCAAAGACTGAGGGCAGGCATGAAAGTGATACTTCTGCAATTTATCTTGCAAGCCATTGCTCTGAGCTACCCCTACAAACAAGACATTCAAGTTTTCAAGAACCATAGAGTAGAGTGCACTTATGTTGCTTGTAGAATCAAACTCAGCTAACGTCACGCGAAGAATAGCTGATTTGCTGTGGCGTTTCACGTGACATTTTCTTGCATTATTGAAGTGTGAGGTCAAAGACCCATTCACTGTAACTGTGTTGCTTGTCAAGTAATGTGAATGGCCAAAGTCACAGACTACTTGGAAAGATGATTGGTTACTTGTTGTGGAAACACCCTCTAAAGAACAAATCACCAGCAAAATCAAGCTGAAGTTTTCAAAGAAGCCCATTATCTATCCTGGAAAGCTAATAAAAAGAAATTTCATTGTATCAGAAACTAAAAATTCTGGTGTTGTATTTACAATCTAAACTAAGCTATATATAATAATGATAGCTGTTAATAGTACATCAGATTTTTACATTTTGTGATTGACAAGTTGTTTCTGCACAGACTGGGTGGCAAAGGGTTCTTACATGATGGATCATTAAGGCCAGAATGAAAATGTGATGTGATTCATGAATTCATGAACCATGGTGAGGTGTGATTTGCCACCTGAAAGATATGTTACCCATGAATTTTTTTAAAAACCTGGAGACTTCCCTGAGAAGAGAGACTTGAAGTTTTCCATTTGATATATATAAGGAATTTATCATTTCTATAAAATTTATGCATGAAACAGAATCAGGACTCCTTAGCTACCCTCCTTCAAGCAGAGAGTTTCTTCCTTTCTTCAAAGGTTCCAATAAAAAAACATTGATCATGTCCAAGAACAATTCTCTGCATGAAAGTCTCTAAAGAAAAGTAGCTTAAAGTTTGCATTACATTGTAACGTTTTGTTCAGATTGTACTTTGTGAGTTGAGAGATTTGTCAATATCACTGATGTAGTTGAAATCAGTAACTGTGGCGCAAAGCCATCACAAAATATCAAATGCACTAAGCATACTAAAATATCTCTATCAGTTTAAAAAAACTATTTTAAAATAATATTCAGATAAAATTGACGTGATAATAGGATTACATTGCGTAACGTTTATTACAAACATTTGATGGCCACTTTAAAAAATAATTCAGTCCACAAAATGTGACACAATTTCTGACGACTGTAAATAAGCTTGCTGCTTTCGAAAAACATAAGTCGTGTTTAACAAAGGGTTCAAAGATCTTTGTTGTCCACCTCTAAAAAAGGATTTTGCCTCGAGGAAAAGACTAATTTAAAAATGAATGATAAAAGATTCACTGATTCCACTCTCATTTATAAAATCCTGATGGTTGTGGAATGGAATATGGCACTTCTTTAAATCTCTTGATTCTACGTAGGAGGAAACAAATATTTTTACCTTATTCAATCGACCAGACACAATGGCCATCTAATTCCTAAGGACGAGACAACGACGCCGGAAAACTACAGTGTACCGCACCGACAGTATGGATGAATAATTTATAATACCACGCTACAGCTTAGACTGTTTCGTTCGGCGAGTAGTTTCGCCATATAAGTCACAATCGAAGAGTAAATAAGATTATAACCAGGAACTTTTCATAGCTAAAAACATATCAATCAATTATATTTCCGTGTATTGCGTTTCACGGGTCTAAATTTAGCGAGACCTTAGCCTCCAGCTGAAATTAAGTAGAGACCTACTCTAACGACAAAAGCTTTATTAAACTATAAAGGAGGCAGCTGGATTGAAAACCAAACCGTATTCTCACAACAATCCATTCAGTACTCTGACGAACGCGCAAGTAAGCACACGCATGCTACATCATTCTAGTATGACGTTGCAATATAGCACTATTGTCTCCGAAATCACCTACAATACAACGAAAGTATTGATTCCAAAATAATTGTGAACACTTACCTCAGATTACGCGAGAAACTATCAAACTAAATGTAGTAATAGCATCTGAAGGTATATCAGGTCAAAGTAGGTCAAATTCTGAAGATGACTCAAGGAGCGCACAAAAATCCCTTTATCGCTGAAAAAAACATATTTTGATTTCAGACAGCCACTTGGTGGCTCTAAGGCAATGTCACACTTCGCGTGACCGTTCGGTTTCTAAGTAAGGATGGTACAAAACATTGCTCGATTACCCGGTACACGAGGTACTTCAATATCAGAGTCGTTCCACACTGATTAGTCTCGCTTACAAGGAACTATGGGTAGGGAATTTCTGGCACGAGGAACTTTCTTGAAATGGAACGCATATTTTGGATGCATATCTAGCTAGCATGTTTTTGTTTATCGATACATTTTATTTTTTCGATTATTTGTCACCAAAATACCACTTTAAAATTTTGTTCTTACCAGGAAAAACTGACAGACTGTCTTTCGTCACCCTTACGTATCCTGTGGGGAAAACCCCGGGAATTCACAACACACCCCTAAAACACCCCGGGACGCTGAAGCTGACAGGTTACGTAAACGAATTTTGAATATTACAATGAACCCCAGGGGACTAATAGACATCCGCTGGAGAGGAAAAAATCTGACAACTGGAAAACACTGCCGAATTTGGATAAACGTCACAGAAATATTAATAAACGCCGCCCTCGAATAAACGCCGCAGATGATGCGCGGCGTTTATTCAAATAAAAGACTCAAAAAGCACACAGCGATCATTGCTTCGATCGAAGTTGGAAATTTTGAGTGAACCAGACACGAATTTCTTTTAATGTACCAGTTCTGATGTCGGGAAAGCATATCCGACATTAGACGTTTAATCACTAAATGTATTGCAATAGTATTAACATGCAAATTGCGAAATTGAGAATAATATAAAAAATGACTTTTTAGACAAGCACTAAAACATGTTTCTGTTTTTTAAAATAAAATGGTCAGTTATCATACTATTGTTTGCAAGAAATAAATTGGATTTTAAATAAACGCCGCTCTTGAATAAATGCCTTACTGGAATCACGAAAAATTTAATAAACGCCGCGGCGTTTAATCGAATAGATACAGTATTCTATAGTTTTATCAATTTTCATATGCGAGTTAACTTTGCTTTATGATTTTTTAAGTTAAGAATTAACCCTACAAGACTCAGTTTTTCGAGCGAACATAAACGAGTTTTTCCAGCAAAATATTGATCTGGCGTTTCAAAAAAATATCAAAGAGGCAAATTTATGTTCTTGTTCTGAGACTGCGATTTGATTTTGAAAAAGAGTTGTGACACAAAACTCAATGCCTGATTAATCAGATGTTCACACCACCACCATGAACGTAACAGTTTTAGCACAAATTTTATCCTTCTATCGACAATTGGAATATTTACGCTTGCACCTTTCGGTAAAGATTGCCTTAAAAAAGGCCAGTATTTATCAATGAAATCAAACATATTGCTACACAAATTAACTACAAAGGTCAGCTTTAATTGCACAATCAACAACAAAAGAAAAAGGCATTCACTGGTTTTCTTTGCTTAGGCACAGGCGGCCCAAGGTCCAGCTTTGAGATGATCGTCATTTTATGCGACATAAGAGTTATGGCGAAATTATGAGAGTTTGTATGGGAATATTTACGACCACTTTTAGGAATAAAAAAATACAGTCAAATTCTTTATAGAAATACCTCACCTTACTTCCTCAGTGCATCGCTTGTTATATGACTGCTTACTATGTTGAAAAGAACCCATTCTGACGAGTTATCCATTTCGAGGTTTACTTAACAAATAGAGAAGCCTTGACTGTGCTCTGTTCTGTTGTAAAGCACGCAGGAAGCGGCTAGAGCACGAAAGAAGTGTAGGGGGAAACACGTAGTTTCTCCGTTAAATTCCTCAAGAATTACTTTCAATTTTCAAAACAAATCTTATTTCCAAAGCGAACAACAGTCTCGTCAGCATGCTCTATACTCTCATAAAGCACGCTACAATAAGCCAATCAGAATTCCTGTTAGAATGGTTCAAATAATCTGATTAGCTGTACAAGACTAAAGCTGTCAAAAATGTCAAACCATCAAAGTTCAAAAACCATCAAAGTTCAAATTCTGCAATAGTTTACAAACTAAAATAGCTCGGCATGTCGAATTTAACACTTTTGCCTGAAGTTTTTTAGTTTCTAATACAGGACCTGAAAGTGAAATGTTCAGTGAAATTCGGCCCAATCGTGGCTCACAAAAAAACGCAAGTTGTTTCACATTACAAGTAAAAAACAAACTGTTCAAGGCGAGTGTATTATGAATGAACAACAGCCGAATTCACTAAGACAAAAAGATCGCTCGGAATGACAGCGCCGTAAAACTCGGTTGCAGTGACTGATCTGGCCTTCAACTCAACACATCGGAAAGGTAATCAGGACAAGCTCTTATTTTTTCACTCGAAGGGTAGTCGATTTAGTTCCTGAGGCTTGCTCCACTGCGATGACTGAAGATCGCCATGATTAGCTAGCCGCGATAGACCTTAAGTCGCTCTGACACCGTCATGATTAGTATGAATTTTAACAGTTATGCCAGGTTATATTTTCATAATTCCTTTTTTTTTCTATTTGAAATCGAAACTTTATATACTATACAAGTGTTAGCTGTGTTTGATTTTTATTACCGTACGTAAACTCGCAATCTAACTGAGCGTGAAGACCGTTAAAAAAACTCGGACTGTCTATCTTGTTTTATCTTTGAGGATTTTTGTCTCTGCTCACGTTACAGTAACGTAAATTACTGCGCCTGGCATTTTTGCAAACCTTTGCTTGCTTGTTCCGAAATTTCACTTTTATTAACGAAAGAAAAGCTAGAAAGAAGTCCCGGAAAAGGTCGAACATAGTACGATTTGGCAGATGGCGTGACAGCTTTAGCTCAGTTCTATGCTTTATACTCTCATAGAGCACGCTCTTTCAACCAATGACAGTACGTGTTATATCCGAGCTTTATTATAATACGTACATAAGAGAAGCCTATTCTTATAATTTCGTCATGACTCAAGCCATGACTCTTATTTCGCAAGATGACCATTTGGGCCGCCTGTGGCTAAGGCAGAAATCCATTGTTCTCCGATCTCGCTGGAACAAAAAAATTTAGCCACGGTAAATATTTGTCGGCCTGGAAAAATATCCTTTCAGTTCGTTAGCACAGAAAGGGAAACAGTTGAAATATCAACGAACAAGGTTTATTGCATTTGGACACAAAGTACTCTTTGTGTCAGCTAGGCACATGGCGTGGTGTGTAACGCCACTTCGACAAACATCACATCATCACACCACTATGAAAAGGTCGACAGTGGCACAGCCCTCGACCAATAGTTGTAATTGTACACTGTATTGTTCACTACTTAACATGTAATGTAATATAAGGTCGGTCTTTTACAATTACCGGTCATCTTGGTGCGAGCAGGTTTCCTTGCAGCGGTGAAAGAAGGAAGTTCGAAATGGAAAAGGCCGCAGTTGTGTCCGTTTTAGCACTCTGTGTTATTGGATTTGGTTCAGGTTTTCATGTGTCGTACGATGATTGTGGTAAGCTTCATTCATTTTTACTTATGTGTAATTTCGCAACGAAGATCGAATTTCGACTTTCTCTGCAGCTCTCAAATTGACTACCTTTGTGGCTGGTTCCAATGTAAAAAAAAAAACTAACAAGGTTTTGATAATTCCGCTCTACAATGAGTGAGCTGCATTTCATTGGATAAAGTGTAGTTATGAGACTCTGGGCGATGAAGCATGACTTCGTTGAATATACAAAGGAGGTCGTTGGAACGCTTGCATATCCATTTTCGCCTCTACATAATGTTTCTTCTTGCAAGAAATACATTCCCTTTCTTAGAGCACAATTCATCCAAACGCAGGGAATCAAAGCCATTTCAGAAGCAGTATTAATCTAATTTAAAATCAAAGGGCGATTTTCTACCTAGAATCAGACGAAGTGGGTGGTTTTTTGACGAACAAGAATGACGAACTCTCTGAGACGTAGCAAAAAGAAAAAAAAGGATAATAGAAAAGTATCTTATTTTAAACACAGAAAGAGGCAATTTTCTTTGTGTTACATGTGTTTGATTTACTTCAGGTGGGGCAGATGCTTTGTCCAAACTTGTCTTCGTGGACGTTGATCCTTGTATCAATCAGCCCGATCCGTGTAGCTTGAAGAAGGGAACTGAGGAAACCATCCAAGTACAGTTTGTGCCAAGTACGAAAAGTCCATCGGTTTAGGTCCAAGTGTTAAATAATGAGTGAAACAGGTCCTAGTGTTATATAATGAGTGAAACAATGAAACAAACTAAAAAACTTTGTGGAAAACGAGCATACTACACAACGAGAATAGGCAAAAATTCCTAGCACAAATGTTTTTTTTCGGTCTGATAAGTACGTTGAAACGACCCCAATGCGCTTTGTCAGTTACATGTCATTTTGGATGGATCTGGAAAACGTAAATGCAATTAATCTTTTCCAAGACAAACAAAATTGCCAGGGCCCGTAGGGAGATCATTTTTCATAACTGTGCAGAGGCAAAGCGCGCGAATCATTTGTTTAAGAAAGTTTTTCAAACCCTGCATATTTTCAGCGTGAAGGCCAGAACAACCGCATCTAATCAAAACAACCATTCTCTAAAAGTTTTTTTTTCTTTTAACTAAGTTTTTGGGCGGCAAAAAATTCAAAGCCCGGTTGAACTGTTTATAACAATCTTGGGCAATGAATTACCTATTTTGCGTTAAATTACCTCTCTTGTGTATTGTGTTATCAGAAATCTTCATTTGTCTCGGCTAATAGAAATGAACCATTTTTTAAGTGTGAAATGAAATGCAACATCAAATGATTACGCTAAAATTTCCGGTACAATTCTTTGTCCGAGATGAGTTTGGGACGACCTGTTAAGCCGTATATTACCATCGAAAGAAAATTACTGTAATTTAATATTTTCTAGGAGAGTTCCTCCGTTATCGATAAAAACATAGAATCTGACTCCCAAAGATAAAAAAATCTACAGCTAGTAGTCAAGATAGTTGTCTTTCTGGTGGATACATTTGAAATAACATTATAACATTTTTAAAAATTCATTTTACCTTCATTTCTCAAAAATAAATTTGTGGAATTAAACGCTCTTTATGGACAGAAAATACATTGCAAACAATAGGTTTTCTTTTGTTTTACAGAGGTGAACATTACATCAGCCAAGACTGTGGTTCATGGTAAAATCCCATACGTACCCATGCCAGCACCATTTCCTGTTGACGAGCCAGATGCTTGCAAGGGCCAAGGTCTTGATTGCCCTTTACTTGCTGGAAAAACTTACACTTTCAAAACTCACCTTCCCATAAAGAGCATGTACCCTGCTGTAAGTACAATGTAACGAGAATTCATCCTTTCACTCCCAGAAGTGATTAACCCTTTAACCCCCATGAGTGACCACGACAGAATTTCTCCTTACAATATCAATACAATATCAATACAATATCAACCAGATGAGTGCTGAGAATAAAGAAAATATCAATTTGGGGATAATTAATTGATCCGATGCTAAATTCTCTGAACTAACATCATAAAAATTGTATGATTGACAGTAAGGAGAAGTACAAATTTGATCTGGGAGTTGAAGGGTTAACATCTAATTTCTGTCTATAATGTTCAACATTATCCAGCAAACAGGTTATAAAAATACACAAATTTATCCAGCAGAAGTTACCTTGGTCTACCACCAAATTCAAGTCAATAATTTACCAGGAATTGTGTACGAGCCAGATGGAAAATTTAACTATCAGATTTTATGAGTTGAAGAGTTAAACACATGGACATGGAGTAGAAATTGACTTTCCGATATGGTTTTAGTTGCCTTGTCTTATAGTACCAGTCCATATTTCAGCATCAAAATACCCAACTCAATCTGATGACACTTTTTATTTCAGATTCAAGTTGTTGTCAAGTGGGAATTGCATGACCAGGATGATAAAGTAGTCTACTGTTGGCAGATTCCTGCTAGGATTGTCAATTAAAACTCTCTTCAGGGTGTTACAGATGTAATCAAAATTCAAATACTTGATCTACCTTAAACAGTAAGATCAGTTTGAAGCAACCATGAAGATTGTTCATCAAATAGGAAAGGACTTGTCATTTCAAGAATAAAATTTATGAAAAAATCATGGAATGTATCTGCCGACTTATTGTATCACTCTGACCTTTAATGTAGTCTGTTGAATAACTAAGCGCAAGAGATCTGACATAGCCACACAAGGATATCCAAAGAAAAGAAAAATGAATCCATATTTTAAGTGTCCCACCTCTTAACCCTTTGATTCTGAGTGACTAGCATCTAGTTTCTCCTTATAATATAACCCCTGAATCAAACATTAAGGTTAAGACAATAAAGGAAATGATCACTAAAGTAACTAAAGAGGCTCTAAGCTGTTAACAAATTCTTCTTAGCAGCACCTTAAGAAATGTATAGAGAACAGTATGGAGAATATCCTTACTGATATTAGGGGTGTAAATGGATATGTATTCACCCTCTTATAAGGACATGGTTGCAAAAAGCATAATTTTTCAAGATTTCTGACTTTTTCCTGTTCCCTAATAAAAATAGATGTTACTGACAAAATAAATACACAATGTGATGCATAGAAATAACATCCCATAATTTATTACACTTAGAGTATTTCCAACCATCTCATTAGCATCAACAAAACAATGAAGACAAAAAATGGATGAGTTTGAGGTTCTTCAATGCAGTTTTATTTTTTCTTGTAATTTTTCTGACATCCTTTTTTCCCTGAATACTTCTTAACCAGTGACAACCAAACAAGTTTCAACACGGCTCTCTGTGACAATCTACCAGCAACATAACCTTTCACATTTATACTTGACCATTTTATTCATAAATGATATAACACTTGCTGAAATGTAACACACCATACTTAGGACCACATTCTTTAGAGACTCATTCATAGTTAACCTTCAAAACCCTAAGAGTGACCAGCTTCTACTTTCTCCTTACAGCAACACCACTGAATCCTTCATTAAGATCACGATAATAAAGGAAATTATCGACAAAATAGTTTGATTGTTACACAAATTCTCCTTGCAGTACCAGAAGAGAAGTAAAGAGAAGATTGTAGAGAACATGGATCTTAAATCTGTCGCTTTAGTGCCACTCTGGTTTCATCATCATATGAGGTGGCATGGGTGCAGGAGCTGGGGGTAAAGGAGCAGTTTCACAGAGAGCACATGTCCAGTGACCTGAAAGATTAGCAGAGTCACCTTAATAACAGTATCATTATACAACAACAGCTAAGTAGAGTTCATGTAGGACATGAGTGTTTAACCCAGAACTAAAACACTCATTGAATCAATACAACCACTACATATGGGAACCAAGTGGAATATTTCTGGAATACAACCTGAGTGGTGATATTGAATAACAACGTCACAATTCCCGCCTTTTCAAACTTTGCTGAATGAACTTGGTTTGTTTGTTGTTTAGAATATTAAATAAATTTTTGTTCTGTTTTTGCTGAACAGCTGAATACTTGATTTTGGCCTAATGAATGGTGTTACATGCAAACCTTTTTATGATTAGAGCACCAAGTATTTTGTTTCTTTTGATACCTAGTATTTGTAATAAAGCCCACTGTTCAATCTCTACTCTGTAGTTATATTCCATATAGTAAAAAGAAAATTGCACCTCAGCTCAAGGATATGAATTTTATAAAGGAGGTAAGTTTCTAAAGAAACTGTGGGACTGCATCTATGGGAGAGTATAACAGGGCAATTTGGTATTATCTACTTAACTGATAACAAAAACTGGCCACCATAAAGAGTTTAAAAGCTGGCATTTCAAGTGTTAGCCCTTCATCAGAGCAAATGATGAAGGGCTAACCCTCCCCTCCTTCAACCTTGGTATAATCTCTCTTTCAATCACTGAAGTCATGAAATGTCTACCATCACCCCATCCAAACATTTGTAAGTTCATTGTTTTGCTTAATTTCTTTCCATAGCTGCTGTTTTGCTCATTATAATCCATCACTGATTATTGTTCCCTTGTCGAATTCACATCACATCAGTGCAGGTTCAAAAGTCTCAATAAGTCCCATAGTTTATGGTTAAAAATTGGTCAGTTATAGCAACCATAATGCCAGTTTTTACTCTGTACAATTCCTCCATAAAGGCTATTTGAACAAATAAAGTTCAAATGGATAAATGAATATCATACTCTAGAGACAGATTACCTTCAGGTGGTTTTTGCATCGGTGGCTTGAGACAATACATATGATAACCTCTGTCACAGCCGTCACAAAACAGCAGCTGATCCTACAAAAGAACAGAAACCATTCAGAGGTCATATGAAAAGCTTACAGCTTCCTTTTGTGTCATAAATCAAAGGCAAAACAAACTTTACCCCATATGGATAGATTTCATGCACATACAGCAAGGTACATTGTAGATGTCTTTCTATTGTCTGAACGAGGTTGATGAAAATGTTTCTAAAGTATGTTTAACTCAGTCTCACATCATTATCAGAAGTTCCACAGAGTGTGCAGGACTTGCACTCAATGCACTGCCATTTGTATTTTTTCACACTTTCTGTCAGCTTTCCAGTAAACTGAAGACAAGAAGGATGGCCTAAAAAAAAAAATCACGAATACCAATAAATGAAAGATACCTTGATCTTATCAACTGAGTTGAAACCCTTTAATTCCCATGAATGACCGAGACAGAATTTCTCCTTACAATATCAATACAACATCAACCAGATAAGTGATGAGAATAAAGAAAAATATCAATATGGGAATAATTGGTTGATCCAATACTAAATTCTCTGAACTAAAATTATAAGAATTGTATGGTTGACAGTAAGGAGAATGACAAATTTGATCTGGGAGTTAAGGGGTTAAGCTTCAGCCCTTCATCAGAGTGAAGGCCTTATGCTCAAAACATCAACCCTACAATCTCTTTATGATGGCCAATTTACATTATTTAACCCTTTATTAATTTTAGTATTGGATCAATCAATTATTCCCAAATTGATATTTGTCTTTATTCTCATTGCACCCTTTCAATTGTTTAAATTCCATCTCCCAAACTGATTGATGATGGCCTATTGATGGCCTGTCCAATTTTACTGTAAAACTCAGAAAACTATGAACACCAATATTATTTCTGGAATGTTGTTGTGTTGAGAAAAACAATCAAATCAGGCTTGAGAAAAATTAACTTTACAAAGTAACAATAATTTATTACTTTGCAGTTTTCTAGTTTCACTTGTCCTGATCACCGTTCTAAATGCTTTTCAGGTGCTTGTGGTTTCCGAGATTGCCACTGAGCTGAGTAATCCATGCATCAACTCTTCTTATCATTGTAAAGCTGGTAGCATTTAAGGGCAACTACATTCTGATTGGTTACTTGAGTGAGCAAGACAAGCACATCTTACCAGCTTGGGATTACCTGCTTTCATCCCACACAAGAAAAAAGAAAAACATGGAGCAGACTTACAAAGTTCATATTTATTGGAGATTATCCTGAGACTAAAATGGGTAATACCTGATCTGCCACAGTCTGCACAAGATAACAGTTCTTCAGGAAATCCAGTTGTTTTATTCTCATACACATCACCCAGACAAAAGTCGCAATAGTTATTAGGAGAAGTGCCGCTGCCTGGAACCTTCTTTGGACGTCCTGGACCTCTTTGGTGGGGTGGCGATGGAGGAACCTTTGGAGATTCAACAGGAACACTGGCAGTAGAAGGTGTTGATGGGTGGGATATTGGTGGCTCCTCATGATGAGGTGCTGGACCAGCCGCAGCCTCCTGTTCGTGATTATAGTGGGTGTAATGGTATTTCAGTCCAGGGCCATTTTTATAGCGCCGTCCACAAACTGAGAAAAAAACAACAGTAACTGAAAAAAATATCTATGCCCATCTCTAATCACAAAATTTTTAAACACAATTAAAACAAATAAACCTCAATCAATGGTTTAACATATAAATACACGCAGATATATTGTGGGTTGCATAGTATTTTTCCGAGCTCCATGGGGGCAAAGAGAAGATAAATAATGAACAAAATATCCACTCGTATCATATGCTAAACCATCAAATAAGGGATTTATCATTTCATCTTCTAGAAATTTTTGTTAACAAAACACTTTCTGCAGCCTTACCCTGGCATCTTATTGATTGTGCAAGGTGTAGGCAAAAGATGAAACAAAAGAATAAAATCTTCACTAAAAAGTCCATATTTTAAAAAGTCAAGCCTAAAGACCGAAAAATTAACAGTTTGGATCGTTCGGCACAGCCAGTTTGTTGCTCTACTTTCAGTGTGTATTTTTGCTCTGTTCAACACTGTAATACCATGAAAAATTTTGCCCCTTTCACTGCTCTAATATGGTTAAGTGGCAAAGGAGTAGAATAATTATTATAATATTGTTATACAATTCCACACAAAAGAGAAAATGCTTTTTGTATAACTGTTTTCATACTAAGTACAAAAACTTCTCTTCTAACAAATATCAACATCATCACCATCAGTTCCCATTGGGGCAGTGGGTGTATAGGGTGGCATTGTATGTACAAGGTATTCAACAGCATTCATTATTTATCAATTCAATTTTCTCTGGTATTTATCATATATTGACTTACTCTCACACACATAAGGCTTTTTTCGCTCCTCTGGATCCATCCTGGCTAATTCCTCCTTGGTGATATTGCGCACATGGAGAAGGCCAGGCATTTGGGGGATTGGCTTCTGAAGTTTACACAAACAATAACAAAACATGAGTTGAGAACTATACCTGAACTTTGAGCAAGCTGCTATGTTGGATACTGTGAGGTTCAGTGGCCACTTCTATCTTCATGATCCCTCCAGGGCAAGTACAGAAAAAAAGGACCCAGAACAGGCCTCTACCCTAACACACAAACCATCACCTCTTGCATCTTCATTAGGCCATTACACCTCCCCTCTTAAAAACTTTCTTTTTCTCAACTGGTCAACAGAGAGAGTGTGCTTTTAGGAGGCTACTCTATCTTACTTTTCAGAAAATTCCCAATCAAAATCCCCAATAAAATTTTCTTACATGGTGGACTGGTGTTTCTGGAAATAGACTGGGTTGATGCGCTTTTTTGCGTCCTGGCCTTCCTTTACTAATTGGTCTCTTCTTGCCGACGATGAAGTCTTCATCATCAGTGGATAATGCACCACTATCATCCTGTAGATCTTCCTCCCCTTCACTCTCCACAAGTCTCACTTCATCATCTTTCACTGCCACAGCTTCTCTTAGATGATCAGGTTCAGACTCATCCAGTAGTCCCTCAGTTTCCATGGCATCCACAGTTTCAATTATTTGTTCTTTTCGAATAAGAAACATAATTTGAGTTTCAATTGATTATCAACAAAAGAAGCTCTAGATTGTTAAAAACTTCTCCTGTCAGCACCCTAAGAAATGTATAGAGAACAGTTTGGAGAACATAGATACTAATTTTGGGGTATATAGGGTTAAAACGTTTTCACCTGCAGTATTCAGTAACAGGGCTCTTACAACGCTCAGGCGAATGAGAAATTGTTGGTTAGCCATCATGCTTGTCTCATAATGAGCTGAACTATCATTGATACAGACATGCGAGACTTTTCTCATAGTTCTCTACAGTTCCCCCCTCCCCTTCCCCTCCCCCCCTTTCCCACCTAGCTTTACCTTCAGTTTCTAAAGTTTTGGTCTCAATCGCACGCTCGACAGGGAGAGGCCGTTTCTTTTTCCGCCATCGTCTGGCTGGGTAACTGTAGACGTAATGTGGCGTCTGTCCTGGCTGACGTTCGAGTTTGCTGATCCATAAATGGCAGTTGTTCATAGCGATGCCTGTTTGTGCATCGATGAAAGGAATGCGAAGACGGCGCTCGTAACGCAATCTGGAGTTGTAAGCGGATACATTCTCCAGAGCTTCTTTGTACATTTCTCTAAGAAAAAAAGTAACGACAATTTAAGTACTCTCATTTTCTTCGACGAAGAATTTAAAAGAGGCACTCTAAAAGAAGAAATAAGACACGAACTGGGGATCTTTAGGTTCACGAGATATCACTCCGCGAGCCGCCATGTTGTTTAGTTCTCTTCGGTATTGTTAACTAGGTAACCTGGCGTAAATCTTGATAGCTTCGGTAACCTGGCAAAACACCCTCGCTCTCATGGTAAACACGATTTCCTCTGCGAAGGGTAATCGCATGGATATGACTAATGTTCTCTTCAAAGAGTGAATTTGTAAAACGTGATCGTCTCAAATTTCGCCTAAACGTGAATGAGTTTTGGATATTATTCGTGATGCGTGAAAAGGCCAAATATTATTACGTGCCTGAGTTTTACAAGGGCGCAAAACAACATCATATTTTTAAGTTGTTGAGAGCCTCGCTCTTGAGACAAGTAGTTCATACATACATACATACATACATTCTTTATTTGATAAGTAGGTTGTGTGAAAGATGTGGACCTACTATACTAAATATTAAGAATTACATATATATAAAAATTGCAATAATAACTTAGAACTACTATATACAAATAAAATGGTGTTCACTAAGACTAACATATAAATCTAAAAGTAAATGAAATGGTCCTTTCTGTTGGCAACTACTGTTGCCTCTTTCTCAAATGAAAAATGAAAATGAAAATGAAAATGAAAGCTTCACCCGGCTGACTTTTGGGGCATGTTGGCTTTTTCCTTTTTTCTACAATGATGGTAGTGTTTGTTTTTTAGGAAAGAAAAGATCTTTACTTGTTTGGCCAATGGCCAGAAGGCGGAAAAATTCTTAAGGATAACAACTTCTACCTGATAAGTTTGAGTATTCTCATTACCTGTCTGCTGGAAATGGCATGGATATTATGGGTAGAAGTTACATGTTCATCACTTTTTGAGTTTAAAGGTCGATTACCTCCCCGTAACTGCAAGTCATGTTGCCTTCAGTCTGCCTTTTGAGGATTCGTGCATGAGCTTAGTGGGACCAGAAATAGTGTCATTTATGACTCTGAGACCTGTCTCAGAAGTAAATGGGTTTTACCAGAAAAATTATCCAGGCTAAAAAAGCAGACTGATGCGTGTCAGTCAAATGGCTGTCTGCTCAATTTGCGTATCTATCTATTGTTGTAATTTATTTTGAATAGCTGAAATTCGAACCTGGAACATTCAGATAAAAAACAAATGCAAAGTACACTTCTTTTGCGTGTTTTATTTTTAAAAAGCTGTATTATTCGACATTCTTAAAAATGTCTTCAAGTCAAAATAGCCGAAGCCTAAAGATCAATGTGCAGGTCAGGTCGGGCGTTGAACATGAAACACGGCAATTATGCTTTATGTAGCCGATATACATATATGTATATACATAAGACATTCATTCATTCTTTTGGATTTCTTTTTTCAGTTAATGGTAAACTTGGCAAAATTACGTGACATCATTGTGCGAGGCTAAATGGTGATGTCGAACAGTCACAGAGTTATTTTAAGCAAGAAGTAATTTGTGTTATATTTTGAAATAATTTTTATTCGAGTAAATTTTATAAATTATTCCTTGAAACAAATATGACTGTTGTTACCTTGGTTATTCGACTCAAAGTAAATATTATTGCTTTTGTTATTCCGTAATTAAGTTATTTTACCATATTAGGGCACTAGTACGTGCAAACATGCCATGATACTACACTGTAGAACATAGCAAAAATACAGAGCAACAAATTGGTCGCGCCGAACGATCCAAACTTTATCGATATTTAGACTTCTTTTAAGCAAGAAATCTTTCAAGTGCTTCAGATTTTTTTTATTGGCCATAATAAGTCTTGAGTGATTTCGCTAGTGTTGCCGGTTTTCATCCTTCGCGCACGATCAGAGACAAGAAGCATGAGGGTATATTTCGAAAAATAGAAGCCAAAATTCTAAAAATTGAAATAATGATGGAATAATAAATCCCTTATTCAACGGTTCAACATCTAATACGAGGGGACATTTTGCTCTTTGCTCACAAAACATCCGCTCGTGTTATATATTTTAAACCATCGAATAAGGTGTATTTATTTCATTGTTGATAAAACATGCCGAATAAATAAAAGCAAATTAATAGCAGTCATACAAGTAGTTGTAATGCGGTTTTGTGATATAGTGCTTATGATATAGTTGCAGAAAACAGGTAGTACTGGCTTTAGTTTTCGCTTGGTCAGTTAGAAAGTTAAAAAGTTTTTCCTTATGATTTTATGATCAAGCGTAAGGATAAAGTTTTAAAAGGGTTCAAAACGTAGACTTAAGGAATTTACTCCTTACAGTATTCCATAGTTCTAAATTAAAGGAAGTTGGAGAAACTTGCCTTGGCATGCTTGTTACGTTCAAGAATTTTAATTACAGTGTAGAGCTGACGGGTGCAATTGTTATTTTCACAAAAGAAACTAATAGTCGATATTAGTTTTGCATTTTTTCGGAAGAAAAGTTTTAAAAACCCAAACGAAAAGAACTGTAAGGTTTTTCTTTTCAAAGACAATGCACAATTTGATCATATCTTACGGCTCTCATAAAGAGCAAACTTTTTTTTATGGCTCACGGTTGAATGCAAGCTTGAACCGTTGATATTTGTGACGCTAAGTGGTATGTTCATAATATCAAAAATTACTCCTCTGACGTAAAAAGCTTATTGTGTTGTCGCAACAATATCGATGGTTTGAAGAAGAGTTAATGTGATTGCGGGCAGGAGGATTCTTCTCACTTGACGAAGTTTCGCAAAGTGAAAAAAACGCTGTTCGAGCGCAATTGAAGTTGGGTTCTCGCATCGATGAAAATGAGAGTACGCGTTGGATTTTTTCTCCTAGCCTTTCTCGGTTTCTTTTCTGCTTTTAGCTCGGCTCTGAAATGTCCTGGCGTTGCTCATTACAAGCTGAGTTTCTACGGCAAATGGAGTAACATGACTCACCCGAATGCTGTTCCTACAAAGGGCTTTCCTATGTTTTCACCTTGGGTCGGCGCCTCTCACAGTGCAGATTACTCCATGTGGAAGCCAGGAATGATGGCCTCAGAAGGCGTACAACAAGTTGCTGAGACAGGTACATTGTTTTTGTGAAATTATTTCTTAATTATTTCGTATTTCGTCAATACTGGATCGTTCACATGCAAACGTTGTCCAGCCATGTAACAACCACTGCTATCCAAATTTTATCGAAAGACGCAGACTATAAAGATCTGAGTGACGTCTGCTGGAGTTGAGGCACTCTTTCGTTTTTAAACCGCCAGAGGCGTCATGAGAACCATAAAAGGCTGACTTTGCGACTCATTTTAATTAACATTTTGTTCATTTCATTATTCCAAATAGTTTTTTCGTAGTCTCCTCGACCTCCGTTCCTTCTATTTCAGGATTTTTTGTAGTCTAATTTACACTTTGAGAGGACGATGTAAATTGCTTGTTACATTTCCTTATTTCAGCAAGAAACTTTCACATGGTGCCGGATCTATGGATTCTTTATCCATGATCAGTGCCTGTTGTCATGATCTGAAGTAAACTGCTTGGGTATTGGGTGACGTTATTCACTATACTTGCATGAAATTGGTTCAACATAAAACAGTTCTCCTCATTCAAAAAATTCTGTCACGTTTACAGTGACTATAGGCAGAGACCGCTGTTACTTAAGATCAAAAGTTGAGTAGCTCATTTGCCTTCATGTCCCATCAGGTAATTCGTCACTCCTGCGAGATGAAATCATGATGCGTATGATGTACAACAAGACAGTGTGGAAACTGATCCAACAACAGGGCGGTCCCATAAACGGCACAGACATGGTGGAGGGCATTGATGTTGAGGTCACGGCCGACTATCCTTACGTGTCGCTGATTTCCATGATCTTCCCCTCTCCTGATTGGTTCATAGGAGGCGACTCTATAAACCTTTGTAATAATGGAAACTGGCGTGACAGCTGGAACGTAGCAATGCTGCCGCCATGGGATGCTGGGACTGATAGTGGAACCACGTTCACCGCCGATGACGTGGAGACAAGTCCCCAAGGGAATATCGCTGTTATCAACACAATGATGAACACTTCCTTTATGAACCTTCAGGGAGACATTCCAACCATGGGCATGCTGATGTTTCAAAGAGTCAATAAGCCAACGCAGTATATGTGCAGCGGAGAGCAGAAGTACATGCTCAAGTTTGAAGGAATGTGGACCGAACAGAGGCAACCCATGGGATACCCGTCCAATCCTCGTTTTTCACCTCTCATCGGTTGCACCCATATGTATAACTACAGGTTCTGGAGTCCCATGACTATGGCTTCTAAAGGAGTACAGATGGTCGCAGAAACAGGTAGATAATCATTTGATTAACAATTGTCTTATTTCAGGGTTGTTTTCAACATGATGAATTGCATGATTAACGTCTGTAGTGATAAAGATTGGGGAAGAATGACTTAACGATCATTTGGGGTTTATTTGGCTCAAGTCTTAGCTTAGCTTGATCTTGTGTGTGTGGTGGTCTTAGACACAGCACTGTTCTCTCACTGAAAAAGACGAAAGACTTCGGAATGGGGTAAGAAGGGTGACTGAAAGGTTCTTGGGTGAGTAGCAACAGTGTAAGGTAGCTATAGTGTAGGGTATTACATACGACCTCAATGAAGACACCAGAAATGTCAACCGTAGTGTCAGATGCTTTTTGGGGGTCAGGGAGAGGGGTAAAAACGAGAAGTTGGGGGGAGGATGGAGTTTTGCTCCTTTCTTTTCTGCCTACCTTAAAAAAAATTGTGATATTCGGAATTAAAAATGGATCATGCGAAGAATTTACCTTTCTTTTTTTTTGTGTTCAATCTAAATTTTGGCTATACTAGGCAACTACTCAACATTGTACTACGAGCTGAAAAACTTCATGGGAAAATATCAGGGATACATTCACATGATTTACAAAGCCGATGAAATGTCTGGCGCTGCAAAGAATACAACTATGATGATAACGGCGAGTGGCAAGTATTCCCAAGCCTCTTTCATCGCCATGATTGCTCCCTCTCCTGACTGGTTCGTTGGAGTTCATGGCGTAGAGCTCTGTGGAAGCGATGGCAAATGGAAGGAGAGTGTGTCCATGTACTTGCCCGCGTGGGATGCTGGGACAGATAGTGGAATGAACTTCACCTCAGAAAATGCTCCCACTTTGCCGCAGGATGTTGTCACAGTCATTACAAAGGACAGCGAAACCGTGCTGAAGGGAATGAATGACATCCCCGCCTTCGCCAAAATCACCTTCACCAAATATACAGCGACCAATCCACCGAGCTCAGGGGTTCAGGGTATTTCCGCAACAGTTGGTACCTTTCTGTCTGTTGCGTTTCTCGCCGTCATTTGCTTTTTGTCTTAGCTTCGTTGAGATTAGAAGAGGCTAGTCGGCACGGCTAGGGAAACACATTCCCATTCGTCCCTTCTCTGTTCACACAAATGGGGGAATTTACCGCGGCAACAAAGCCTAAGATCTCTAGCTTGCGTAGATACGGGGTTTAAAGGGGATCGCTTCTTGACGTCAAACCGGTACTCACGTAAATATTCGTTTTACGTACCTTCTTTTCCATCAAATTAGATTGAACTCCGTAAGTTGATTTTCAACTTCCATCAGTGATATGTTAACTACGGAAGTTGATGAAGCTTACAACTGCTCTAAAACTACGGAGGAAAACTCTAACTTGTTTTCAAGATTTTTATAAGATGCTGTGGACTTTAACACCAACGCCATGTAGTTTTGCTGGCCTTCACTTAAATTTTCTAAGTAACAGTAGCAAACTTGAAACAAGACCGATAAAAATTTGTCAAATTCAGCGTGCCACCTAAAATGTTTACTCCAGTGCGACTGTTTTAGTTCTGATGTTTTTCAAATTAAACAGTGTCTCTGCTTTTATTTTTTATTTGACAGTAGAAAACTTGAAACAGGTGCTGGAATTTGTCAAATTCAGCGTGCCACCTAAAATATTTTACTCCAGTGCGACTGTTTTAGTTCTGATGTTTTTCAAATTAAACAGTCTCTCTGCTGTTATTTTTTATTTTTACAGTAGCAAACTCGAAACAAGACTGCTGGAATTTGTCAAATTCAGTGTGCCACTTAAAAAATGTTTTACTCCAGTACGACTGTTTTAGTTCTGATGTTTTTCAAATTAAACAGTCTCTCTGCTGCTATTTTTTATTTTTACAGTAGCAAACTCGAAACAAGACTGCTGGAATTTTTAAATTCAGTGTGCCACTTAAAAATGTTTTACTCCAGTGCGACTGTTTTAGTTCTGATGTTTTTCAAATTAAACAGTCTCTCTGCTGTTATTTTTTATTTTTACAGTAGCAAACTCGAAACAAGACTGCTGGAATTTTTAAATTCAGTGTGCCACTTAAAAATGTTTTATTCCAGTGCGACTGTTTTAGTTCTGATGTTTTTTCAAATTAAACAGTCTCTCTGCTTTTATTTTTTATTTCAACAATAGAAAACTCGAAACAAGACTGCTGGAATTTGTCAAATTCAGCGTGCCACCTAAAATTTTTTACTCCGGTGCGACTGTTTTAGTTCTGATGTTTTTCAAATTAAACAGTCTCTCTGCTGTTATTTTTTATTTTTACAGTAGCAAACTCGAAACAAGACTGCTGGAATTTGACAACTTCAGCACGCCACCTAAAATGTTTCACTCCAGTGCGACTGTTTTAGTTCTGATGTTTTTTCAAATTAAACAGTCTCTCTGCTTTTATTTTTTACTTCAACAGTAGCAAACTCGAAACAAGACTGCTGGAATTTGTCAATTTGAGCGTGTCACCTAAACTTTTTTACTCCAGTGCGACTGTTTTAGTTCTGATGTTTTTCAAATTAAACAGTCTCTCTGCTGTTATTTTTTATTTTTACAGTAGAAAACTCGAAACAAGACTGCTGGAATTTGACAACTTCAGCACGCCACCTAAAATGTTTCACTTGAGTGCGACTGTTTTAGTTCTGATGTTTTTTCAAATTAAACAGTCTCTCTGCTTTTATTTTTTATCTTAACAGTAGTAAACTCGAAAACAAGACTGCTGGAATTTGTCAACTTCAGCGTGCCACCTAAAATTCTTTACTCCAGTGCGACTGTTTTAGTTCTGATGTTTTTCAAATTAAACAGTCTCTCTGCTCTTATTTTTTATTTTAACGATAGCAAACTCGAAATAAGACAAGGAAAAGAGAAATCTCTCCATTATACAACTGAAGTACAGTTTATGTTTTGGATGTTTAGTGCTATTTTTGGCTTACGTTTACCGTATACATGCAGCAGTTGGCATCGTTGGAAAGCCATGTTTTGCAATTGCACACAGAGGTACTTTTCGTCTATAACAAGTGCTGTTTTTAGATTAATTTGGATCTTTAGAATATGAGGTTCATAAGCACTCTGTAAGGTCCAAAACAAGGAGCTCCTCGAAAATTGAAAAAGTTTTGGGAGCACCTGTTTAAAAACTTGCGAATAAAGTTTGCATTTGCTTCAATGTTTGTTCCCCTTCTTCTACGTTCCTAATATCTAAGAAAAATTTCTATGTTGGATTCTTTAATTTCACAGAATATCAACAAACTCTCTTTATTTCATTCAGTTTGTAATTATGTGTATCTTACATGGTATGAAAGTTTTTTCGTAACGGATTCCTTAGACTTTTTGCCATATTTTTAAGAAGATTTGCGCTTTCGATAAACTTATAACCAAACTTTACCATAAAATCAGCGCATTGGTTATCAATGATAAGAGTTTCCAGCAGTGAGAGTTCCTTCCTCCAAGAGTTGATAGTAACAGAGGTATTTCTGTTGCTTGTAGAGTAGCTAAGCTCATCGTTACTGTGTCTTTTTTCATCAAAATTGATGTTTCGCAGCCATTCTTTTACCTCTGCAGCATAATCAATCCCCGTAAACTGAAATATTTTGCGTGAAAACTCTGGGATGTTCTCGGCTAAGTCCTCGTAGCGAATTACTCTGTACTGATCTGGACCAAGTTTAGACGAAAGGTATGAAGACAAGTTCATATCCTTTTGCAGTCGATCACAGAAACGTCGAACTTGCTCGATGAAACTGAAACCAGGGACAAAGTTTATATTTGGTGGGCGAAAAGTTGAGTTTCGTCCCTTTTTGTTTAATTCTGTCCTGGTGTAGTTTTTAGTTCCTCTTGATATTAAACCCATTTTTATCATGGACCAAACAACCGCCCGCGGATCGCGCACTAACTGTATAGTTTTAAGTGGAATTTTTTGCGGCTGTAAAGAATCACCTTCGACCAAGTCTTTTAAATTTTCCTCAGGTAAACGGTGAGTTAATATTTTTAAAGCAACGAACTTCTTCGATTTGCAATTAAGCGACACTAAGTTTGCGTCTAACGGAGAACATTTGCTTAAAGGTTTAAAGAGATTTTTAAACGGTTGAAAAGCATATTTGCAGAAAAGTAATGATGCCAGTGATCTGCTCGATAAAACAAAATGTGGATTTGACAGTCCTGGGTGAGAAAGAAAATTAAAGTATTCTTGGAAGCCATTAAAGTTGCAGATAGAAGCATTTCGAAGGAATAATCGTGTAAGAGTTTCGTAATTTCGTTCTGCAATATATTTCAATTTTTTAAACACCGCGAAGGGGTGAAGAGGTTCGTAAAGATAAAATACATCTGGATGTTGGTTGAATAACTGTCCTAGAAATGACGATCCTGTTCTTGGTTGAGCAAAAATTAAAACAAAGGAAGAACTTTTCTTTCCACCAGAACGAGCTCGTCTTTCCATTATGCGTGGTAAAAGTCGAGTGAAGGTTAAGTCGGACATGATGATATAGGTAAAAACAGTTCCCAGCAGAACGACAGATGCGAACCAGGTAGAATACATTTGAAATCGTCCTTCAACTTTAATTTTCTGAAAGAATTTAAAGAAAGGAGGAAATCTTTCAGCTATAAAAACCTTCCATTCACGAATTAAGTTTGCATTGTACACTATCACGATAGAAATATTGAGACAAGTAAGATAAACTCTAGGGGAGGGGGTACTTCCAAATGAAAGGCTTGTGCCGTAGGATGGATTCACATTTTTACGAATGGAGTGGCACATTTTCGGGTTTTCGGGGGTTGGAAAATTCTGGTAATGAGGAATTTAAAAATGGAAAGTTTCGCGGTGAGAGGCCAGCGGTACATACCCAGGAAAAATTGACTCAAGTACCCCCTCCCCCTCCCTTCTCCCCCCTCCCCCCCCCCCCCCCCGCGTAGACACTGCAATTGAAAACTTAGATACCATCAACTTTCTGATTTATCAACGTCAAAATTGAAGATGTAGGAATCATAACCTTCCATCTAAGAAAAAAAAGAAATTCCGATCTAGGCTTCATACATTTTATTCAATTTGTATCACTTGATATAGTAGTCTCTCCCCTGAAGGCGCGATGTACGTAAACGTTTCTTGAACCGTAAAGACGCAGTGTGTTCGGCGGCAAACTGAATCAACGGCGCCATCAGTTACACAAGTAGCGTACAATAACTCACGTTATTCATTTCCATACAAAAAAAAATTCCAAGAGCTCAGAAGCAGCATGAATGGAAATGAAGTTTATCATGATTTTCGGACTCCTAGTCTTGGAATTAAACCGTCTATATAGAGACGTATGGCAGAATAAAATTATATGATGCCACTAACCGTAACATATAGAATGGAAGATTACCAGGGCGTCTGAAAACGCTGTATTTTCCTCAAATCTCCCAGCTTGCCTTTACATCACCCATCCGCGTGTCTTTGTTTATATTTGTCTAAAACAGTGGAAGCTTACAATATTCAGATACACATAAGTCAAGCGGCGAAAGAAAAACTTTCAGAGTACATAATTATTTAAAGCATTTGATAACACGGAGTAAATATGTCACCTGCACATAAAAAACAAATGGTTTTCGATGGTAAGGCTCGAGTTGTAGAGAACGTTGTTACCTATACGAGGGCCACAACGACGCAGATCGGGTAACATGAGTTTGATGTTGAGATATTCCTCCAAGTTCACTCCTTGAATGATAAACGTAACAACACTGAACTGGTCGGTCCCAAATAACTGTGACAAAAACCTGCAAAAAAAGAGAAAGTCTTGAGAGTTCTACCTGCAGACACGTGGCGAGACCCGCCATTACAGCGTATCTTCTCTCAAACAAATATCCAGTCCCTCGAAAATTGGGGAACGAAGAAAGATGAAGGCAACTTTCTCCAAAAATAGCTGACTCAGAAAAGCCTTTTTGCGAAATCAGTTTGGATCTCTCCGTTTGAGCTTCGGAGAACAGAAAATATTTGTATAGGTGGGCAAAGAAAGAGATTTGGCTTATGAAGAAATAACGATCACCCAGCTAAACATAGAACTGTTAAAAGTAAAATATATCATTTCTTTTGCGCGTAAGTTGTAACTGTTCAAACTGAATCGTCTAATGTATTGTGCATTAACCTTTTAACTCCCAAGATTCATTAGTAATTCTCCCTACTGTTTGCCAAAAGATTCTCATTATGTTAGTTTGGAGAATTTGGTATTGGATCAATGAGTAATTCCATAATTGAAATTTTTCTTTAATCTCATCACTTTTCTACTGTAATGATATTGAGAGGAGAAATTCTGTCTTGGTCACTCACGGGAGTTAAAGGGTTTATCGGGACCACTTGTATGTTGTTACTAAACTGTTTATGATCTTTCATTGTCTTAGTCATTTAGCAAGATCAAAAACCTATTTATAGACCGTTTCAAACTGCAACTTTTCAATAAATGATACCGATTATTCTATCTCACAAACGTCTGCGTTGTTCATCACTTAGTATCAATTTAAAAAATAGATTTTATGCTGCTGTACGTCTGCTTATTAACACTTTACCCGCTAACATCAGTATGTATATTCTCCATACTGTTCTCTATACATTTTCAAAGAGGCTGACAAAGAGAATTTGTGTAACAGTCAAGAGCTGCTTAAGTTGGTAGTCATCTCCTCTCTAAGGAGAAATTAGATGCTAATCACTCTTTAATAGGGGCTAAAGGGTTCCTAGATTGCAGATGATGTGCGGCAACGTGTGGTTAGAACAGAAAAGTGGCGTATGAAGCGCAGTCGAGTGTGTCAATGACGTTCTCACCACATTTTTGACGTCTTCGTGATCTGTTGCTGTACAGACCCACGGTAATATGGAATATAGACGATATATTTATTTTGTAGAATAAAGTAGCAAAAAACGGTTATATGACGAAGCCATCTATTTGTCTGTCCTCCCTTAGATCGTAAGTAAGAACGTATCATAATGCAGGCGTGATTCAGCTTATTTTATATCAACTTAACGCTGATCTGAGTTGTAGCACAATGCTGGAAGCATGCCATGTAAAAGTCTTTCCATGAAAAGCCGTGAGTAAATCTTTCACGCTACAACTTTTACTTATTTACTTTTTTTTTTTTCGTTTTTTTTTTCGCGTACAACACAAAGATTAAAAAACAAAACAATCAATGCAGCGGAGGAGACTGTCAACCAGGAATTAATCAGCAATGACTCGTTGACATCTAGAGTAGGCGGCATGGCCTTTTACTCGAAAAGTATATTAACTTCCTCGTGTTGAAGTTGAACTCACAGCGGGGTTTTCCAGAATCATTGACTTGCTGATTATCAGTGCAGAATTATATCTTGACTTTTTTGGTGTCAAATAGAAAGGGTTATTAAGAATTTAACATCCAGCTTTTACCCTCAGAGGCCAAAATCGAAGCTCTTCGGATCTGATATGAATAAGGAAGACGAAACACAAGAAAATCATTTGCGTGCTAATCGAGAAAAATACCACGAATAAAATTAGATCAATTCTCAAACCACCAGCACTGAACAATTAAATCGCCTTAGGCACGGTTCTTTTCAGGCCACCCTTCTCTAATAGTGTTAAAAAATATTAAAAAAATTATTGAAAATGAAATTTCCTGTGCCGTAATGCTGTTTGTGATGTGTGTTTGCGGGCATATAAAGCGTAACAAGTCAGGAAGTCTAATAGAGATTACTTCACGATATGTCGAGATGTTTCGATCACTAAAAAAATTGCCGAAAACATTTCTGAGGGAAAAAAACACACACACAGACATAAACACAAAAGGGATAAAGACATGAAGGGAAAAGTGGAATGTATTTTAAATGTATGACAGATCAAAAAGGATATTAATTGGGCAATGGACCGCATTTTTATCAGGTTACCAGGCTGAGCGTAATAACCTTCTCGGGATCTTGGAAGAACGCGAAGAAAGTTTGTAAATCACGAGTCGGTAGAAAATAAACTTAGAATGTTTTAATTTTCAGTGGGCTTACCGGTGCAATAAACGATAGGGTTCTGACTAACAAGGTGCATGTACGTAGTTACTTAATTATTTCATGTTGAAAAACTTCGAGTTTCACGAATTGCATAGTGAATATTTTAAGAAGAGAATCATGCTCATCCATTGCTCTTTTTATAAATAGGCAGGACTTGTGAACTCAACATTTGACTAATTCTCTGCGGAGGGTCGATGGACCATTTCAGCTTAAAATTAGTCGTCTTGCTTGACTTCTACTCCTCACGGAAAACCCAAATCTTACTTCAAACACATTGTACAATTCATTATGGAAGTTTTATACAAACGAGATTACGTCTCCGAACTCTTTCGTGTTTATGTTGGCTGAATATTTATGTTTACTCTGTTTCATCGCTTAAAATCCCCAATGAGGCCCTTACTGAGCTAACTAAGCTTCTTTGGAATATTTCTTCAATACAGTGGATTGCTTAGAAAGGGGGTTTTATTATTCAAAACGGGTGACGTCAACCACTGGAGATTTCGATCAAAAAGATTTTGCGGTAAGCACTGAAACATTTATTGAGTTTCCGATACGTTTTCTGCAGCACCCCAGGGTTTTAGACAATCATGGGTCTATTTCTATGTCAGATGAAGAGATTGGACCACTGTCTCTGCCCTTGGCTCTTTTTGTTGGGTAAGTACATGTTTGTCGACAGGGAATATTGAGCAAAAATTTCATAATAACTGCACGCGTCTAGCAGTTTGAGAAAAGTTTTCTACCTTAACCATCTTTCTCGTGCTCTAAAGCATCGCAAAACTTTACCCAAATTTGGAAATGGAAATTCGCTACTTATTTTAGAAACATTTCCTTTGAAAGGCAAGTGAAAAAGCAAGGTCAAGACAAGAGAGCATTCGCATAAAGCTATACAAATTTTTCCATGGGGAAATTGATCAGTGAGCCATCATTAATTGGACTCCGAAAAAGCTGTAGCTCAAGCTGCCTTTAAAAAGTGAGGGAATCTTTTGGATAAGAATGTTCCTAGCTGGTTTGGTCTTAAAATGCCCTAACCACCATATCGTTCCTCAGTCATTGGCTCACAATCAACCTATGCTCATTAAAATGAGACTATTGCGTTAGAAAATTTTGGATGAAAAAAATTCTGTAAATATTGTTTTTTTTATTGGCGTCAGTGGTCATAAGTTTGCATCTTTATCTTACCAGCAGTTCGAGTAACTAAAAAAGCTTCTGAAGTTTCATTCGTCAGAGCTTTGAGCCTTCAAGGAAAGAAAAGTGAAAGAAAACATTCCATCTTGAAATGCAAGACAAGGAACAGAAACGCATGGCTTATTTCAAGTGCAGTTAAAAGCTTAACGTTAACAAAATAGTTTTTACAGGTCATATGCCAAATCTAATAACTCAAACGGCCTTAATCCAATCAAATTATAATTATATTTCTTTAAACACCCAGTAGAAAAAGAAAACCTTGCGTCTGTCGCCTCAAAGACTGATCAAACGCTTGTTCACAATTTGATCAAGGAAGATTCAGTTTCATGGAATACACGTTCGGTAGACAAAAGAGAAAAAAACAGCAGATATTTCATTTTATCAAAAATAGAGAGAATTAGAATTACTCCTGAGTGTTAGTCCAAATCCCTTCTTGAAATGTGGCATGATGACACCTTGACGACCTCATAACTTGTAACAATACCTTCTAGAAGCAGAGAAGATCCTTTGTAAGATTTTAAAACGAAATAATCCTGAAGAAGCCTCTTTTTGAACAGCTTTTGGCATGAAACTTTTCAAGAAGACAGCCGTCCAAAAATTTCATATGAAGCAATCCAAGTTTAATTGAATCATCTTTCGCTATCTCTTGTCACACATGACCCTTTCGGCTTTTCCCGACCTTAAAGAACGAGGAACACTTTTATATAGCCTTTCTTGTCAACGGGCCTCTCGTGAGTGTACTTCGCAGCCGCACTTAATTTGGAAGGTCACGCTATCTAAGATTTGTCCCAATTTCTCATCATTGCACCGAAATAGAGAAAAACTTCTTGAGTAAAGTTCCTTTTCCTTTAAGTATGATACAACGACTTTGGCCAAGACTCTGCTCTCTCTCAAATTTCACCCCTCCACCCTCTCTCCCCTTCTCTCGCCCAGCCTCTCCCTCCTCTACCCCTAGTCTCATACCGAGACCTTTCACGGACAAGCGGTTGTCAGCATAAGTTACACGGTAGGATCTGGGTACGAGATTACTTTACTGCCTCTCTAACACCGTGACACGTGCATGAAAGAACATTGCAAGGTCTTCTCTATTTGCTTTTCAGTTTTCTTTCTTAAAGAATCACAGCCACGAGAAATTCTACTATTTCCTTACCAACCCTCGCGTTCAGTAAAGCTTGGAGACCGTGTGACATTGAACTGCACTAATAGGTCAAGCAGAGGTGCAACCTACGAATGGTATCAGAATGAGTTAAACATTGCGCTTATGAACGACCCAAGGATGATAAGAGAAAATAATACGTTGAAAATACTGAAGACAAAATTATATCATACTGGAGTCTATCAATGTATTGAAACAAGAAAGGGACGAGAAATTCAAAAGCAAAATCGATACGTCCTACTAAACGTTGAAGGTAAGACAAATGATCTTGTTTCTCATGCAGCTTTAAGCTCATTTAATTCCGATATAACTTTCACGTGTTTTCTAGTCGTCTGTGATCGCCTTATTTGAAAACACACACACACATAACGAAAATCTTATTATAGTACGGTACATTGGTTTATTTACTCCTCTATAAGGCTATTCCTAGTAATTCACAATTAATGAAGAAAAAAGCTAATCACAACAATTATTGAGATAAGAATAGACCAATTTACAAATAAAATTGTACCTTATTACAACGTACTTGAAGTATCTATATAGTAATAAATATATATATATATACATATATATATATATATATATTTCGCATCAAGCTTCTTTCCACTAGCTTCTCCGCAACACCTCGTGTGAAGAGTGGGCCTAAAAGGTGGAGTTTGTATTCGTGCTTAATGGCCCACTCAGCCGGAGCTCATTCCGATTTCCATGTAGCATGAAGCGGCTAGGAGTATTACCACTCCCCCCTAGATGGGATGCCAGTCCATCGCAAAGTCGACCCCCAGCATTTCATTAAGCTTCTCCGATAATTTGTTAGTACCCATATATACTCCTGGGGGGGAGAGGCACTGTGAGAGGAAAGTGTTTTGCCAAAGAACACAACAAAGTAACCTGACCAGTTCTCGAACCCAGACCTCTCGACCATAGGCCAGTGTGTGTCTTCCGAAGTAATGGTCAGATGATGCCAAATTATTCATATTCTTTATTTTTTTGCTTCTCAACTTTAGGCAAGTGCAATAAAGCCTCAATAACCATCAAACCCTACCGGGGAAAAAAGTATCCCGTAGGAATAAACCTCACGTTGGATTGTGAGTGTAAAAGTTCTGCCACAAAGAGGATAAGATGGTTGAGGAACGGTGTTAAAGTCAACCCAAAAAAGAAAATGATAACTTTGGACGGCAAAAGATTGATCCTCAACAATGCAACGTATGCTGATAGTGGCAATTACACTTGTAAGGTGACAGTGGACGGGTCCCATGCGTCCTGGTCAAGAACACTCGAGTTCTGGGGTATGAGCCGAAAAGACTTAAATGTGGAAGTGAAATGCATCTTTGTTACCGTTATACTTTAACTGCCAAGAGTTTTCAATTTGTATCTACTCCTTGAGTTATCATAGTCTGAGAGAAGGCATACACTTATTATTAGCGGTGCTGGAAGCGCGTTTCTTTGCTCAGTTAGGGAGAGGTTTGCTAGGGATCTGGCACCAATAATAAGGCAGTGCCAGACCCCCTGCAGACCTTTCTCGGCTCACTTGCTGAAGGCCTCGTTGTTTCCGGCAAAAAATGAGGGCCACTTGTAGCCCCGAATCAAGTTTTTCACACGAGCTTCTTTTAAGGGCCTAAAAGTTTATCGTCAAGCGTCAAAAAAGATACTTTTTTTACCGTCACCGTCAAATAAACCGTCAAGCAATTTAAAGATCATTCAAGAGATAAAACTGAAGGCTCCGAGCAGATGAAAAGAAATTCGCAAGATAGATAGCAAATGATTTATAAAAGAAGCGGTAACACCTTAAAAAGTCTAACTGAAATTATTGCACAGATTTGCCATGGCAGGTTTCACTCGGTGCCGAGACTTGGTAAGACTGATTTATAAGCACAAGGATAAAAACGAGGTCGCCAATTTTAAGAGTTTCAGTGATACTAACTGAAAATCTCGATTTGTTTATCTTCCTTTTTAGTGGGAACTGCACCAAAGATCATTTTTCATAAAGGTGGATATATGCAGCTTGCACCTAAAGGACAGAAGTTAAAGTTTCCTTGCCGAGCAACAGGAATCCCCCGTCCAAAAATAACATGGTACTACATGGGCGACAAATATGGTCCACGAGTTTTGAGAGCGAAAAATGACAGCGATTTCAGGGTCTATGGCGACGGGTCCTTGGAAATGATGAATTACACTGCAGAAATGGCGTTTGAATTCGTGTGTATGGCTAGAAATGTTATGGGGCACGCCCATATAAACGTCGATCTCTCAACCCCCGGTAGGTATGACCTTCAAGTCTTCAGTTCGCTCCATGTAAGAAGTGATTGTACCCTGAAATTGTTGTATTAACAATTGAGGCCCTGAGGTGAAAGAGAAAAAGAGGAGAAAGAGAGAGGGTGAGAGACAGAGGGAGAGAGAGTAGAGTGTTTCATTCTTCTCCGTTGAGAGAGAGAGTAGAAAACGCAGAAAAGCGGCTTTAGTGATGTGATAGGTTCTTATAAGTTCATATTGTAATAATACTATATTTACTGAGTCAGTTTAGCTAGGCAGAATCAGAAATTTTATACTAGCCCTTATATTGTACTGAGCAATAGAATTTACCTGATTTCTCTCCTCCCTCCCCCATAAAGCTCTGTAATATTTTTATTTTTCCCACCGCATTGGCAGGAAAAATGACTGGTCGCTAATTAAGTTCTCTGACTTCAGGAGAAGAAGAGGGGAGAGGTCGCACAGCCACTTGCTCGAAATAGTAAATACTCCTCAATCTTTTTTAAAAGGGCTCATACACCCAAAAAACTTTCTATTTAGATGAGTTAGAACAGAGTTGCTCCATTCTATCCACCACGTCATGTGCTTTGTGTGCGTTTTTTTTTCTTTTTTAACTTTTACACCAATGTGAACTATTCTCTACGTGCAGTGAAAATTTCAGTGGCTGAAGATATCAAGGCCGTTGATGGAGGCAATCTCGTTGCGCCTTGCAAGGCCCTAGGTACACCCAAAACAGAATCATTCTGGACGGATAAAAAAAGAGTTTACTTAGGGAATGATGGTCGAGTAAGTTCAAAGAAAAATGGTAACCTGGAAGTAGATGGTGTACGATTGGGTGATCAAGGACGATACTATTGTACCTCGGCCCGTGATGATCCTTCTCAAGATAAAGAAACCGGAGTATGGCTGACCGTTTATGGTACGTATGTCAGGTGCAGCACACCGTTAATGAAAAGGAGGGTATGATACGAAACATCATGTTACATTTAAACTACGTCGCATTAAGTCAGAGGTAATTGGAGGTTTCGCCCTATTGCAATTAAGTTCGCCCCCGATCACCTTTACAACTTCGCTCCCCTAATGTAAAACGATTTCGCCCCCACTTGGATCAGTTCGACCCAACTCATTCAACTTGTTTCTTATGGCGGAACACGGTTTCGTTACTGTATTGCTTGTTGGTCGAAATATATTATGATTTTGACAGGAAATGAATTTGTTCTGTGGTAAGGAAACGAGTCGAAATAAAGCTGCCAATTTTACGATCATTTTTTTTAAATCTAAATTCCCCAAAAGCCTTCTATTTATACTAAACATTTTCTGATAAATTCCAAATATCTCCATCTTTTAAGTAAAATGCACCTCCCCCCTGCCACCATTGAAGGAACGTTACGTTAAGTTCTGCATTGTCAAATGTCGTCTTAATTCGTTATGTTATACTCTTACATCTTTCTATTTCTAGACTGAGCTAAGTAAAAATATAATCCTCTCCAGCCTGATTATTATAAACAGGATAATTTGGTGTTACCAACTGAGTTGATAACGTAAATTGGCCATCGTAAGGAGTTTCAAAGCTGACGTTTCGAGCGTTAGCTCTTCGTAGGAGTTGACTTGTAATTCGGTGTCTTTCCTCTTCTTCATTCAGAAACTGACACAATCAGAATAAAGGCCACTCATAAGAATGTTACCCAAGCGTTTGTGGGAATGACGATAACACTGCTGTGTGAGTTCGAGAGTGAGCCAAAGGTGAACATCACCTGGAGCAGGAGAGACATGAAGAAGCTGCCTAAAAGAATGGAGTCCTATGGCTCTTCACTGAATATACATAAAGTGAGGCTTTCGGACGCTGGCCGGTATTACTGCAATGGATCAAATGGTTTCAAATCGCTTAGAACTTTCATTGATTTGCTCGTGTATAGTAAGTAGATGGCACGATTAATTTTAACCTTAAAACATCTCAGAGCACGCACACAAGTCGCTCGTTGTAACAGTTCGATTATGTCCTCTTAACTGGTTATTTCGCTCTTTCTGTTATTAGTTCGGAGGTGAAGGACGAATACGTTGGTTGATACAATCCCGTGGTTCTTATGAACATTATACTCAATTTAAACCCTCATTTTCAAATATGTACACATCTTCGGACCAAAATGTATAATTGAGGATAGAGGATGATCGATGACAAGCTAGCTTTTCTTTTTTCATCGACGCCATGCCCTTAAAACAAAAGTATCACCTCGTAAACTACATGCTGACTGTAGCTCAAAGCCCTAAACTGAAATTGGTACAAAAAAAACTGGTACAAAACATGGCATCTTCCCTATTACCAGGTGGAGTCTCTCCAATTGAGTTACAGACAACTCACTGACGAGCCTGATCGTAAACTTGGGTGCATCCTGGCGTTCAAAGCCACTAGAGTGGTTGGGACAGAAAAAAAAATATAGCAATTTCTTTCCACAGGTTCTAAGCTGTATAGGCCAAGCAACGTAACAGTTTCTGAGGGTGACTCAGCTTGGTTGCATTGCGCAGTCCGAGCAGATCCTCCGCGCATCACGATCGCGTGGTTTAAAAAAGGACAAGGGAGCAAAATGCTTGACAAGAAAAGGTTCCATATTGTTGCAAACGGCTCGCTGCACATAACCAACGTTCAGCTTGGTGATCAGGGGAAGTATTTCTGTATGACGAGCGCCAACAAAAAACAGAAATACGGTACACGATATCTTTTTGTGAGAGGTAAGACCCCGTAAAGGTTACGTTTAGGCCATTTTTTTTATTTAAAAATAATTGTGATCAATGAGATAATTATTAAATTGTTATCCAAATTATGTGGGGTGTTGATAGCCATATAAGAAATTATCCCAAAGGAAGCCGTTGGGCGATTGCAAAGAAGTGTTAAGTTGAAAATCAATGATAATATTGCGGACATAGGAAACGAGAGGATCAAATTTTTTTAACAAACTGACCGCTGAGTTCCCTTGGTGCATTTCTTTTTCATTTTCGCATGTAATGTAAACATTCCAATGAGACAATCGGCAAAAAGCTAGGGCCTTGTTTTCCATTCTTCACTAATCATCACTTCCCTAAGATCCGCTGCGTAGCCGGAGTACGCAAGTTACAACTTGTGAGATGAGAAATTTGAAACTAGAGTTTGGAAACTTAAATGAGCTGTGTCACGTGGGTCACAAAATGAAACTCGGCCGCGCTCACTCGGGTGGAATGGTGACCATTTTGACAGATATCTTCAGTAGACTCAAAACAGTTTTCTTTTATATCTCTTATTTTCTTTAACAGAAATCCCCAAACGTTATACAGCCGGGCACAAGGATTTTGGTGGTCGTTTTCTTGTGATGATCTTCGCGCTGGCAATAATATATACATTATAACTATGACATGCGCATCATCAAACACTTTCATTTTGTTTTTTCGTTTGTTTGTTTTTTGCATTGTAAGTGTTGCATCTTTTATAACGATCTCATTCTAGCAAGGAGCCGAAAGCGCGCAGGTTGTGGCTTCACTTGTATTTTGGAAGAGCTAAAATTGTTGTATGTAAATACATCAGTATGCATTTTCGCCAGACTTTTCTCTATGCGTTTCCTAAGATGCTGACAAGAAGAATCTGTTTAATAATCAAGAGTTGCTTTTGTAGGTGATCATGTCCTTTACCCTCATGACCTTAATGTGTGTTTCAGGGATGATATTGTAAGGAGAAATTAGATGCTGGTCAGTCTAAGGGGTGGAAGGGTTAGATGCATTGTTTTGTACTGAAAACCCACCGACCAGAATTTGCATTAAATTTTGCGGAAATTGACTTTAAGTAAAAAGCGAGAAAAAGAAAATAGTGTGAAGGGAGGAGAAAATAATTCTGTAATTTTCTCTTGATGAACAATAATGTCGTTGAACCAGTGGATGTTTAAAAACTTTATTAGGTAAACACGCACATTAGATTTTGAAAAATTCAGTTTATTCGGCAAGCACAATAATACAACAGGCAAGAAATAAAGCCTTGATCAGTGGAGCAGTGGGTCGATCAGTGAATCTGTGTTGATCATTACTGTAGCTCGATCAATAAAGCAACAAAACGCACCCTAGCATGCGAATAGTTCCTTACAAGAGAATATCAACTCTTGGTTGTCATCAGTACCTCGCGGCCTTCGCGAGAGGCTTACTCTCGCGATGCATACCCATCGAGTGCCAGCTCACAGCCTAACGTGACACACCTAACCAATAACAGACCGACTAACCACTCACTCGTGAACCGATCGATCAACATTAGTCCGTCCGTCCTTCCTTCCATCCGCACAACGACAGGTCTGTGAAATCGATCGACAGCGAGAGAAGTAAAAATGCCGGGACCGGGAACGAATACAGAGTGTTTCATTTTCCTTCTCAGATCTCGGTTGCTCTCTGAATAGTTGACAGAAGTCTTAGTCATTCATTCAGTCACATTCGCGCCGTCAAAATTTCTGCGCGCTTTTTTTTTTTTAACCTCAGTTCCAAAACTTGTAACTCAATTTTGTGCAGGTCAGACGAGCATCGAATTTTGGTTCTTCTTTCCCTAACCCCACATCTAGTACTCCGCACTGTCACGGTTTCTCAGACTGAGAACCGAGCAGAGATCGTAAACTTCAACGAGTCACAAACAGCAATGGTAACCAACCTAATGAGTATGTCAAATAAAATCTACAATTTTATTTGTTTTTTAAATTGAATTGCAGGTAGCTAAGATCACACGGATTGTTAAACCGAAAAAAATCTACAAATTACTAAGAATATGTACATTTTTCAAGTGAAAGTCTCAATTGAAAATAACAAATTTCTCAACACGACATCAGTTCTTTACTGTATCATAGAGTAATCTGTTTAGGTCTAAATATAATTGCTAAGTTACATTGTTTCTTATTCTTAAACCATAATCGCAAAACACACAAAAAAAATTCTTACTTTAATTTGACAAAGTGAACTATAATCTACTCTACCAATACACCTTAGAAGCAAGCACGCAGCCCCTTTACTACCAGTCGATAAAAAAAGCGACTAGTACGCTCTACAATTCACACAAAAAGCAGTCAGCTTACATAAATAATTTCCGCAGCACCTTCAAAAGTAGCCTGGATCTGGGAACTCCTTCAAACAGAGAATTCCAATGGTTACAATTAAAAAAATAACCTTGTAATTCTTGACGTCGTAAAAAATCATATCAATGTCAGTATCTGGGCAATTGCACACCTACTCCTCCCCTAGCACAACATTAACACTTGACTGTTGATGAGCGGGGAAGGGCTGGGTACGAAGTTGTCAAGAGACTGGCATTTATCATAAACATCTTCAAATCTAACACTAAGGTTTACGACCAAGAAAAACAAAATGTATAATAAAATAAGGGTTTCCCTGCTTAACTGGAATTCAAGTTTATAAAATTACTTTTAAATCTAACATTTTTTTACCTTTCGACTAATGCTATTAACTTAAATGACTGGAAAATTTCTCCAAGAAAGCTACCGAAACCATTAACACGTTTTTACATTTATGGCGCGATTATTTAGTGGAAGCAAACAATTTACTATGGGCAACCGTGTACCTAAACATAACTTCTAATTCACCTTCAAAAACCCGGGTCTACCTAAATCTTTTTTTCGTTTAAATCCCCTTCGTTTCTGCTTCAGTCACAAGGTTTATGACGTAAGACAACACGAATCTGACATTTATTTACTAGCACAATAACAGTAATTAGTACATAACATCCCATCAAAATAAATTAAATCTAAGCTAATTCATCTTGTCCCCTTGTACAAATTCAAGTTTAAAAAATACAATAATATCTGTAACAATAAAACAGAAAAATACCTTTATCGAAGCATTCAAGGCTGATAAAAATAACGCGCGCGTTGTTTTGGTTATTTGGCAAGTTTATCTTCACGTTCTGGTTGGCTACGCAAGCTATCGTGATTAAAAAAAAATACTAATTTTATGCCCACCACGCCAAACTTAAACTAGTTCAGAGCAAAAAATATTCCAGTAATCCGGTTTCTAAATCATAAACCTAGACATTTTGCGGTGTTCACTGCTACAGAGATTTTCCACCGAATTTATGTTATCTCGATCTGGACTGGTCTATGTAATTTACCTGCACACGCGTACAAGTCCAAGGAGATTACGAAATCCTTCTAAACTCTTTCAAGTTCTGCCTACTTGGCAATCAGTAGCGAGGAAAAAGGATGGCCAACAAATCTCTTGTACTTTCAAGTTCAATTTTGCTTTTTCTGTCCAGATTCCTTTGTAAAGGCTTTTGTATCGATCGGTTAAAATAGATTCACCATCAGTCGTAGCTGATACCACGTCGGTATGGATTTCAAAGCAATTGAAATAAATTAAACTCCCTGATCTTTAGCAGAAACTTGTGCGCAAAAATACAATCCCTTCACGAGATTCTGGCCTAAAAAAATAATTGCATTCCGTAATCGTGAAAAAATAAAACAACAACAACGTCCAGCAATCTAGAAAGCATCATTCATAAGCCTTCAGTTCAAAATCTCTCCAAGTGCCACTAATTTGAAATTACACTGTCAGCAAGAAATAAGTTAGTTCTATTCGGCACTTTGTAATCACCTTGGTTGAAAAATCATGACACCACTGGCTAGTAAGGAAGTGGTTCACGGTTCAGGGAGTCTAACTTCATTACAGAATTCAAGCGGGTTGGTTACGCCATGAAATCAAACGTGACTATCCACGCTAATCCCCGCTACGTCATCCATAAGTTCCGCAAAGGACGGGCGAGCCAGCGGATTCCCTTCCCAACATTTCTCTAGAACCTCGAGAACCGTATCCGGGCAGTTATCAGGCTTTGGCAGACGCAGATCATCCTTAACGCATTTCAGGACCTCCTCGTTCGACCGATCGTGATACGGCAGCTGACCAAGAGTGTAAATCTCCCAAACCAACACTCCAAACGACCAAACGTCGCTCTTCTCGGAGAAATCATCGTCGAAAATGGCCTCTGGAGGCATCCATCTTAACGGTATCTGTACGTTGTTGAAGCGGTAATACTCCTTGTTGTAGAGATCGTAACTGAAACTCAAAAAGCCTATCTTGATCTGCATATCTCGACCAACCATACAATTCCTTGCAGCAAGATCCTTGTGGACGAAGTGTTGCGAGCTTAGATAGTTCATTCCCGTCGCCAGTTGTCCACAAATGGCGAGTTTCTGATTTGAATTCAACGTACTTCGGCCGTTATCATAGCAAGACAGAAGGTACTGCTTTAAGTCGCCCTAAAAAAAGAAGAGGGAGAAAAATTCCATAAACTATAATTTCCCCACCATTCTCTAATAATATGATTGGATATTCGGCGAACCATTAAACAATTAACGCATAATATAACAAGCCTACAGAACAGGCGAGCGCACGGAGGCACGAGGCAAGCAAGAATGGCAGGTCAAGCACGTGCTCCTGCTCGCTTGAAAAACGTGAAGAGTTTACGTGGGTTCCGCACGCCAACTAATCACAACACAAGTTACAAAAACAAACCACAATTTAGCTTGTTGCGACAAAAACCAAGCCTCAAATGTTAATCAGTAGGTTATAGTCCCATCATTCACCAATTCACTTCAAAGGTCTCATTAGTAGTTCTCTTTAAAGTCTGTTAAAAAAATTCTTATGAAGTTACTTCTGAGAATTTGGTATTGTATTAACTAACAATCCCCAAATTAACATTTTTCTTCATTCACACCACCTGTCAGCTCAATATTTTAATGTAAGGAGGAATTTTGTCTCGGTCATTCAATGAAGTAAAAGCGCCAAAGGAGAAAGATAAGGATTAAAGATTGATTAAACGGTTTTAAATCCCGCGCAAGTTATTTTCAAACTTAAATACAAATAAATCAATTAAGACCTCTCTTTCGCTCTTTAACATTTGCAATGTTATCCCAATAACAAATTTTGTTTATAAGGAATCGTTTAAAAGGTTTAGGAACTATCAAAGCAAAAAGTGGAGTAAACAAACGCTTTTAAAGTTTCTTGCAAATAAACTATTTAACAGTGCGACAATTTATTGCGACATGAAAGAAGCATCCAATTGTCTTTCCAGTTAATCCGTGTCTAATTTGCTCAGAAACACCAACGCACACTTTTTATCTCGTTAGTCAATTACAATACTTGGAAAAAAATGATTTCTTTTCCTTCGTTTTTTTTCGTGACCTTCGACTCAAACAAACTTAGGAGGCCTTCTGACAGATCGCGGACATCCAACATGAGGGCGATTTAACACCAGAAAGCCGATTAGTTCACGGCACACCCAAGTTAAACCCCTACCTAAATATATGTTTTATGATAATTGCCCCCTTCTGGGTCTGCAATATCCTGTTAATTTGCGAGAAAATCACCACCGGCAGGAAAGAGTTGTCACTAAGCTGCAAGTTTATGATAACTCGACAAGATTTGTGTTACCCTTCTTCGGAAAGGACTCACTTTGGAACTCTACTCAAACAGAATTCCATTACTTGAAGTAGGGTGTCCAGATTAGACCACATGGAAACTTGGCCGAAAAAATCCATTAATCCACAAATTTAAAATGAGGTGACAAGTAAACAATGCAATCGTAAAAAAAATTAACCTGCTTTTGTGACCTGATGTAAATTTTCTTCGATGGATTTTCAAATATGAAATCAGCGGCGTCATTCATTACAGTCGGTCATTGCTAACAAATCCTTAATGCTAATTTCTAAGCCTCTATCATGCCCGGAAATTAAAGTCTAACCGCAGTCACTGCGGTTAGACTTAAATGGCATGGCAAGTTATTTAAGATAGTGATCTTAGTTCATCGGATTCGAGTTTCTTTTTTTTGCATAAAAAGCAGGGGAATCGATTTACCCCCAGCTTAAACAGTTAGGAGTAACATTTCTGTTCGGCTTTTCTTTTCCTTTTGTTAAGAAACAAAGTATTTAGCGTTCTATCAGCGATAACAAAGAGAGCGCATGTCAATTCCGCCTACAACTGACGTTTCGAGTGTTGAGACTTTGTCATTCGCTACGACTAAGGGATAACGCTCGAAATGCTATCTCAAGAAACTCTTTCTGATGGCCAATTTACGCTTATCAAATCAGTTGATAAAACCAAACTGTCTTTCCATAACCCAACGACGCAGCGCCACTTGCAAAATATTATAGGATTAACATTGAGGTAGAAAAATTAACAACTTTCTTAGATTTGAATCGTATGATCGTATTTCACGATCATTTCATGATCGTATGATCGTATTTCACGATCATTTCTAATATTTTACATTGGCCAAAAATTGGTGAGAATATTACGGCCAGGGTTTTTTGGTTAACCATTAGAAATTTAGTCTCATGTTATCTATCACCGTTCACCGCCTTTGATCCATTTATCTCTTGCGGTTAAGTTGAAATTATACCTTTCTAATCTTAACCACCTCTTTGTTTAACAGTTAATCCGAGATTCCTATCATCTCCAAACTGATTGCGACATCAAAAACACGGCTTATAGATACAGCGCAACAGCAATAGCAATCTTGCCCTTCCCGTTGGCAATCTGATTAAACATCATTGACACTTTTTTTTTTTTTGTCAACTGAATAAGCCAATAAGCACGTATCTCTTCCGTCATCAACAATCCAACTTTCTGAATGATTCCCATTCCTTCCCGCCTCCTCTCGCTTCGTATAAGACCACTTCTATTTCAGACGTTGACTTGTATTTTGGACAAACAGTGCTCTGATCTCTAGGGAACTATTGTAATAGCTTAACTCTTAGAGAGTTTGTTTAACCGTCCGTTCAACCGCAACTTCCCGCACGCTAGTAGTAATTTTAGTTCAAGATAATCATTTAAATAAAGAATTTTTTCTTTCATTTCCATTTTTTGTTTGCTCGAAAATGTATTCACACTGTTATGAGAAATCACCTATTACATCTGTAGCATTGACTCTTTAACTCCGGGTTGTGATAAACATGTAACTTCTCCTTATAATATCCATACAATATCCAGCAAACAGGAAATGAGAATACTTAAACTTATTAATTAGACGTTGTCATCTTAATCAAATACCAAATTCAGAAAACTAATTTACAAGGCGAAATATGCGGCATCTAAATGGAGAATATACAATCAGATCCTGAGAGTTACAGGGTTTAATAATTGTGGTGATTTGACTGTATACTCACATCAAAAACTCTAAAAACCTTAAGTTAAGACGTACCTTTTCTAACGATTCGAAGATCATGTAAAATGGTTCTTCGTCCTTACACACACCGAGCAGAGTGACTACATTATCGTGCTGCAGACCACAGAGCGCTTCCATTTCCTTGTTAAAATCCTCGCGCACTTGGTCATCATTACTCACCAATGCCTTCACCACCACCATGGTTTCCTTCTCACCGTCGCGGATTCCGCTAGCTCGCGCCAAGAATGCTCTTCCATAAGCACCGTTACCCAGGCTCCTGATGGCCTCCAGATCGTGTCGAGGAAACTCCATTTTGTCGTAGCCAGGGTGTGATCTGTAAATGGGGTTCATTGTCATGTCGTTACCCTCTCCGTCTTTATGTTCGACGTCACCATTGACGTTCACTGTTGATAATTCAAAAGAGGTCAAAGTTGTGCGAGTGTGGGGCCTTATGAATACCGCGCTAGAATCCTTAGCGAGAGATCTAAGTTAGAGTCTTAACCAGGATATTTACAACCCGTCCAGAAGGAGAAACAATACTAGAGTCGCTTCATGTCAAAGATACCCGCATAAACTCTGGCAGCAATGGATTAGGTGGCTTGTGAGACCAAAAGTAACAAAGAAAACAGGTCAGGTTGTAAAAGTTCAATTGAAAGCAAACATAAAGCGACTTCAAAATTATTCAAGAACACTAAGTTAACTGCACAAAACAGTGTTTTCATTCTATGTTACTGCATCACAGAAAGTCAGGCACCAACGTGAAGGGTCTTTCTGATCAACGTGCTCTGGCTAAAACCGGTTAATTTTATCACCCTAGCAACAAACTGGATCTCTTTAGCAGGCTCATTTTGTTATCATAAAAGCTTCGTCAAATAGATGAAGCAAGAATGCTTCTGTTGTCGATTCAAGAACCTACGACACTTACAGTTTTCACATTCTGGAGGTAAGACCTCTTCTTTCCTGTTCTGCCTGGCCCGCCGCCCTTTACAGTAGATCATCAAACCCACCACCAGAACAATGTAAGCTGCAGCACACCCGACTGCAATTCCTATTGTGCGAGCCATTGAGGCTGTCGATTTGCTAACTTCGGCGATGGGATGAGCTGTCCAATGTAATGATAAAAAAAATCACGGATTAGTGACTTTTATTAGAACAGCTTTCAACTGAATGTAATAAAACAAAAACCAAAGTTTTAAAAACGACCAAGCTGAGCAAAGATTAATATCACCAGCCACTTTAACAATCCCAACCCCCTCCTCCCCTCCAAAAAAAAAGCCTACAGAGGAAAGAGGACAAAGCTTGAGGTGTCAGGTTAGCAAAAGAAAATAAAACGCTGTGACATACAACAGAAGTGAACTTACCTTGTACTTTAAGACTGAATTTGCTCTGTTTCATTTCAGCATGGTTTGCGGCGATGCAATAGTACCTGCCCTCATCAGCGAATTGCACCTTCTTGATGTGAAGAGTTCCATTAGGGAACAGAATGAAACGCTCTCTATCCAGCTTGTCCCCTCCTTGTGCTTCTTTGCTCCAACTGATCTTGGGTTTAGGATCACCTGATGCGTTACAATGGAGCCACAAATGATCGTCTACATAAGCCGTCGTGTTCTTCGGCCGCAGGACAAACGTGGGATACACTGTTGGAAAATCACTATATTTCAGCCGTGACAAAAATAACAAGGATGTGTATAACAGTGAATGCACTATCACTTCAGTAAAATTGTTAAAATTTTAATTCCACTTGCCCATAATAATTTGATTATGATCTTACCATAAACAGAAATGTTAACATAGCTCTCTGCACTGCTGAAGGAATTTTCACCCTTACACCAGTAATGGCCCTCATCTGCTTTCTCAATTTTTTCAAAAATCAGCATACTATCTTCTTGTCTAACTCGTTTTGGATCAATATTTACACCTCCTTCTTTCCTCCAGGTAACTCTAATGGGTTGGTGTCCATCAAAGTCACATCGGATCTTCTGAAGTTTGTGTAGGTTGGCATTCACTTGGTTGGTATGGATACCTCGCAGCTTTACTTTTGCTGAAAAGAAGAAAAATTACCAAATTAGCATCTACCCTGTTTCTATCCATTTTGTCTTGTTGTTCGTTCATCTAGTGGCTGATAAGTTACATGTATATGTGAATGATATGTAAATGACCATCTAATCATCAGTCAAAACATGACCTTACTTACCATATACATCAACAGAAGCCTCTGCACTGTCTGACCAAGATGCTACATCCGCTGAACATTGGTATTTTCCTGAATCTTCTGGGATAACTTTGTTTATGACTAGTGTTCCATTTAGATATTTAAATATCCGCTTCTTGTCAACCTTGAGAGATTTGCCATCTTTGTACCAGGATATGTTGGGGGTTGGTCTGGTTTTAGCATTGCAGTCAAGAATAGCTTTTCCATCTTCCTTAATAGATACGTTTTTGGGTTTCGAAGCAATCTTTGGTTGCTCTAAATACAAAACAATATAACTTATCAGGTTTCAATTACAAACTACACCTTCCACCTTTTAATATGACAAAATGCCAAGGAACTACCCAGGAATTACCATATTTATTTAATTACCCTAAGTTAATAAGTGCCCAGCTCGACACAAGCGCCCACCCCTTAAGGGTTAAAGAGCAACAGAGGATCAGTTATATATCTCTAATTCTGCAACCCTTTGCCTCGTGGTACCATAGCTTGTCCCATTTCTACCATCAGAGTTTTATCTAGTAACAAGGAAGAACTAAGAAAAAAGTCTACCAACAAACAATCCATAGTCAAGGTTTCACTTCAAACAAACAATTGTACATAGAGGATAACCACACATTGTGAACATGTACCGCATCACAGCAAGTGCCAATAAATACTCACCAACAACTGTAATTTCAACAGTCTCTGATTTGTTTCCAACCATGTTTTTTGCTGTGCAAGTGTAACTTCCAGCATCATTAAGCTTTGTTCTATTGTTCCGAAGAGTACAACAACCTTTTATATCAAATCTTTTAGGCAGGGTCTCTCCAGCTGCCTTGAGCCATGTTACTGATGCGGCTGGCCTTGCTTCAGGTGGGTCACACGTTATTTCTAGTGGGTCATTGAATAAGACATATACTTTGGTTTTGTCCAGGGTAACATTATTCAAGTCTGCAGAGAAAAAAAAATTTCTTTCTTTTACTACAACAAAAACATTAATAAAAAATAAACTGGTTTGTATGGGTAATCACATGATTTTGAGTGCAATTTGGAATAAATAAGCACAAGTTAATTTTTTTAAAGACTAACAAAATTGTAAGAGCCCATAGGGCAAGTGCAATTTGTGGTCTTTGAAAAAATTACTAAGTGCTTATTTATTCCAAATTTCACGAGAAAAATCATGTGATTATGTGTTAATAATAAACATGAAAAAATACAAGATGGCTTATCATAATTAAGCATAACCAAAGCACATACATTAAGTGCAAAAATAATTTATTCAAACCATGCATTCGGTCAAAACAACCACACATGATCAAAACAATAATATGCAATGATATGTTCACATCTTTAGGCCGCAAAAAAGTTCAAAGTCCGGCTAAACAGTTCAAGGAATTGTTCAGTTTATGTCTGAATCACTTTTGATGAAATGGAATTGTTGTTTCTGAGGTTTAACCATGCTTGTTTTTAATTTGGCATTGGATTGCTTGAGCAAAGTGTTAAGCTGGGTTGGTTCGTAATTTTCGATTTCCTTGGCAATTCCCTTCTCTAAACACCACTTTTTTCCAAACCAACAACCAAAAAGCGGTGTTTTTTACAGTATTTTCATTGTTTGAGCCGTTTTCAGTTGCAGTGGCAAAAGAAAACCTACCTAAAACACCGGCCATTGTTTCCCTCACAAATTTTTAAATTTTGTTGTGACATCCAAGGCTCACATTTGATTGGTTATCCACGAGTTTCTTTGATTATTGACCAACCAGAATGTCTGATTTGTTACTTTCTTTGCACTGAATTAACTCTCTTCTGCACTGATCTTATCTTAACCAATCAAAACTGAGTAATTTTTTCATGTATATTATTAGAAACTAAAGAAACAGTACCTAAACCCCTAAGGATCATGAAGGAATGTTTGGAGCAAAAAGTGATCAGGAATTTCGTAAAAACAATTTTTTGGAAACACAAATAACCTAACACTGGGATGGAATAACAATTCTACCTGATATCAAAAGTTGATTTTTTTTAAAAAAATTATTTTGTCCTGGGTTGGGTTTTCATGCATACAGCTCCAAAGAGCAGGAATCAAGCATATTTGATTACATAAACGCACAAAAAATCAAGATGGTCACTTCCCTGTGATGACAATTATACCATCTCCTTGCCAATTTAGAGCAGTTTAAAGAGTTTTAAGCAGAAATCTAAGAAAGAGAGATTTCTTGGGAGTAACCTCGAACATTCTTTACACTAGTCTCTTTTTTAAGTATGAATAAACCATGCCAATAAATAGATATGCCATTGACTTACAAGCTTTTATATAAATAATATGCCATTGACTTACAAGCAAGTCTCAAAACACTTTCTGTGGTCATTTGCCCAACCAAGTTTGTTGCCGTACACTTGTATTTTTCTTCATCTTGCTTGTCAACATTTGTGATCACCAGTGTCCCATTATCATGAATTCTGTACTTAGAAGAGCTTTGCAATGGGCTACGATTACTCCCTGCATACCACTTAATTTTAGGAGTTGGGCTGCCAATAGCTTTACAAGGGAGGACTACTTCACTACCCGGTAAAACTGTTCTCTCCTTTGGAGGAGGAATTTGAAATTGAGGATGTTGTCCATCTATTGAATAAGAGAAATTATATGATAAGTTCCTCGAGAATTAAGTATTTAACATCTAACATATATCTGAAACACAATATGATGCATATCTAATGACGCAATAAGCCAACCCAGATCTATATATACAGCTTACAAGACCAACCATCCAGACACTCATGTCAGATAGTAAATTTACCAACAAGATAAAATACCATTGTTAGCCTTGCAAATGTTGCTAATGCAGCTGTACACGGCAAACAACCCCCAGCTTCCCTAAAAATTTGTTCAGAAGTATGCATTTAAGCTCCTAATGTAGAACTGCATGATGAGAATTAAAGTGATTTGTCAAAAAGAGCAATAAAATAACAATAAAGGAAGAGAAATGTAACAGCCCTTGATTAGCTTATCGAGTAGAGTGCTAAACTGCTGTGTAGGAGGTCATGAGGTTATGAGGTCAAGGGGTCATGGGTTCAAGGGGTCATGGGGTCAAGGGTTCAAGCCTCAGACTGGACCAACACGTAGGGTCTTCAAACAACTGAGGAGACAGTGCTGCCTTTGCTATGACATCTGCAAATGGTGAGATGCCCTAGTTTTCTCGGATAAGGATGATAAACCGTAAGCTAGTCTCCTGCATCTTCTTTGAACTTGTTAGCAGGAGACATAAAAAACACTCATACACCTCTTGCAAAGAGTAAGGAACACAGTCCCACGCATTATGGTCTGGCCTTGTTATTGTTTACACAGACCCCTACTTCAACCAGCTTTAAAGCTGAACTGGGCCAGCTTGTCTAAATTTACAATATATAATAAATAAATACAGTATCAGCTCAGAGATTGTATACCAAATACTCACCAACTACAGTAACTGACAATGGAGATGTTGCACGTCTGGTATCTGACCCATCCTGGGTGGTTGCTGAACAAGAGTATTCACCACTGTCTCCTACAGTTGCATTGTTAATATACAGTTTGTTGCGACTGATAGTAACTCGTGCATCTGTGGCAACCTCTTTCCCATCTTTTGTCCAAACATATGTTCCCAAAGGATAAATGTAACACTTACATCTTAGCTGTAAATCAGTCTTTGTTAAGAATATTTTGCCAGTGGGCTTTATGCTTAATTGAATTGCAGAGCAAATTCCTGCAAAGAAGAAAAGATTTGACATCAAACACCGTTTGTTATTTTCCTCAAGGATGCAGATACAAGATTAAAGCGATTAATTGACATCACTTTAAAAGCCATGCAACAGTAATGACATTCTCATGTGGCACATGTCAAAGCAAATCACTTTCTCAGTGCAACAAACAAACAATACGCAAGAACTCAAAATGAGGGTTTATTTTGGCAAAAAAAAAAAAAGGGTTACAGTTAATATGGTTATTGAAAATGCCATTTCAATCTCAACTGAACAAAGTAATTTCATATAGGATCCTTCTTTTGTTTTAATGACAGCATCTGCGTTTAAGCTGCTTCTGAGGCTAAGTTTAAGCTCATTTTTCCATTAACCTTTGAAAGGGAATTAAGCTCCAACGGCATGCCCAGTATCTATTATTAAAATATGGCTGTCTGATGTGCTAGTTAATATAGGTTCTCTGACAAAAATTCATGAAAAAATGTCAAATTACATACTTGCACTTTTAGATAAAATCAACACTTCAGAGTCCTTACAAAAATGTCTGTGACCAATTAGTCCCTGCATCAATTAATATATGATCAAGTCCTCATCTGCTAGATGGTATTTGTAGGGACGCCTTTAAAATTTGCCGATAAAACATGGACAAAACTTTATTTTACTTCATGAGAACATTACCTCATAGCCTCATAATTATTCTCTCTCTCTAAGAACATCCATGTAAGTATAACATGAACTGATTAAGGTGCCTGCCTTTAATATTTCAATACTAGCAGAATTGCATGTTTTTTTTATGAAGAAGACACCAAGAATTTATGTCTTTCTCTAAAATCCCTCAAAGGATGACTGCTAGGTTTATTTCATCAAGCAGACTTGAAAATGCACGATATCTGAGATCATGTTATTATTGTTTCATAGTTAAGTATTTAATATTTCCTGGGTGGGGCAAATCTTAAACCACCCAGATTACAGAATGCGACAGATTTTGAGATACTTGAAATTCAGTGATACATTTATAAGCCTACTCCCTTCCAGAAAGATAATAATAAAAAAAGAACTGAAACCTTTCATCCCATTGACTAGATTGCCACTAGCCTCAAGGCTTAAGTTCAAAAGACTCAAAAATAGCCTGAAAATTATTCATTTTCCTCCTTGGAAAAGTAAATTCTGTGAAAAATGGACAGACATTCCTCTAGCCTCTTTCAAAACTACAGGTAAAAAGAATTTATATGGTGAGTTTTATTTTTGTAGCAACCACAGTCCCAAAAAAACCATGCTCTTTTAAGTTCCATTGTTTTCTTGTATGCCCTCAAGGCAAAAAGAGAAATGATATGCAAGTTTCTCAGAGCAGTATCCATGGTATCTGTGAGGTATTTATTTGTTGTAACTTGTGTCGTTTCGTAAGTTCAAAACTTCTACAAAAAGTTAGAAATGAATTAACTACATTGTTGCAACAACAGAACACTAAATCAACATAGAACTAATTACGTCTGCATGTTCGAGTGATGAATTTATTAAACTATAATTTGTCTCGACATTTAGTCAGTTCATCTTAAAATACGCAAATTTCCATTCGCATTCATGGAAAAAAATTGCTTCAATTCATAATAAAATAAATCTTCTCTCTCTCTTCGGCGGTATTGAGATTTATCACAACGCAAAAGACTTCCTCAAGATTTGTGAAGTTTTTTATGTAATCTCCGAAAATCATATTATGACTTATATGTTGGCAATTTACCCCACGACATAACAGCTGTTTGACAATAGAGTTCTTTCACAGCTGTATTGCAAAAAAAAAAATCGTCAGCACGTTATCAATAATTAAAAGCTGTATCCAGCGTCTGTGACTTCGAAAGGGCGACAAAAAATGATATTCGTCTTGATAATACACTCAAATAAACACATCCGCCAGTAAACTTGACGTCTCTAACCGAAGAACCAATTCAAAACCATTGTAATGCACTAGTGATTTGAGTAGAACACTTAAATGTCTGTATCTTATCTATTTTGAGCACAACATGTGGCGTTTCATCATCTCTGAATTAGGAGAGCATTCGATTGTAACCATGTAATCGTATATTTGCACGAGGTTGGATCCATTCACAAACAACTTCATACCAAACAAATTTCCTTGGCGCGGTTGAACAGAAAATTGATCCAGATGGGAAGTTTGAAATTACCACAAAATATGTCGCTTATTCAAAATGTTATGACCGCGTGGAAATTTCCATCAGATTCGAACACTTGTGTTCGAGAAACCCACAGCTACAGCTCAAATGATCTGAATTGGGAACTAGATTAAACAAACTTGAACTTGAATCAAGTGTGTCGCACAAACATTAGGAAACTCTATAACATACCGCGAGCGCCATATATGTTGAGCTACGTAAAATCGAAACAATAGCATTCAAGATTCGACCGCATAATGACTTGAACTAAATCGAAGATTTAAGTGCGACTTATTGATTTCTACCTAGCAAAAAAACAAAAACAGATTATTTGATTTTTTTCCTGACGCAATGGGAAGAATACGACTGAAGGAAATTAACACTCCATAATACTTTTGCAAGACACTGACCAACAATAAATCGCCCTTATCGATCAATTTACCGTTTCACCATGCATGCAACCCAATGTACAATAATCTATTTAATGCCCCCCCACGAGAAAGAGAAAACAAGTCGCCAGAAATCTTGAGATATACCGAGGAACCAACTCCACCGGAAAGACGTACGCCCTAAATTTCATGCAAGCAAACCTTGGTACTACTTCCTTACCTTTTACATTTAAGGCCGCGTTCTGACTCGTGCCCAGAGTTTTCCCTTTCCTTTTGGCCACACATCTATAGTTTCCTCGATCCTCAAACTTAACGTTAGATATTTCTAACATTTTACCATCGTCCTTTTTAACAAAACGACTGTCTCCTGGTAAGGATTGATTATTAAATTCCCAGTCGTACTCCTGTATCTTTTTGGTGTATTGCGCCGAACAAGAAAATGTAGTAGTGTTGCCTTCCTCCACAGTTTGTGACAATGGTTGAGTTTGCCATTGTAGATTTGCTGACAGCGATAGTGGGAGATGCGATCCTGAAGAAAAACGAGTGAAAAGCACGCGTTAGAAAGACGCGAAAAACATTTCTCTATCTCCTCCATCGGGAGTAAATTAATTCCCCACCGCGAAGCGTTCGATCATCTACAATTGACAACAGCCATACTGCTGAAAGAATCATGGATCCCTCCGAGCGCTTCTAATAAGCTTCTTCAATCAGTAAAGGGAACAAGCGAGAAGATTACAGACAACAAAGCAAACGCCGCCGATTATGCGAGCGCACATTTGCTTTTTCTTTCAATTACGAATTGGTCACAGACAACAACTCTAGATTCTATAATCGAACTCGCTTCCATCTCAAATACACACAAATAGGAACTTCAAAGTGCTTTCCTATTAAATTTACCTCGGTTTTGACCAAAGACATGTCACAATAACGGGAACAGAACACAACGTTTGACCTAAAAATACCTTATACGAGTAAGATAGCTTGCAAAAATGCTATAATTTAGGCACAAATGCTTACCTAACAAGACAAAACAGAACCAAACCCAAAAAGATCTCAGTGGAGGTACGTGTCTATTACAATCAAAAGGTGGATCCATGACGTTCGTCGATCATCAAACGAGACTAAATGTGCAATGAAACTGCCGAGAGAAAAAAATACTTGCTTAGCATAAAGACCTTCACCTTTCGGAAATACAATCCCTCGTTAAGCTTGGCCTCCAACGCCAGGAGATTGACATGTGTCACGTGGTTGTCATTCTTTATTATTCTCCAGAGATCGGAAGTGAAAATTAGCCAATCATAGTAGCTCATTAAGCGGCTCGGTGGCCCTACAGGAAATGACAAGGTTTGTGCATGTGAAGTGAAATTTCCATTTCCTTTTGTTTGGATCACATCGCCCTCGCATGATTCACGAGTGATTGCGCCGCCAGTAGCCGAATAATATCACTTGGGATGATTGAACTTGAAAAATCGGCAATTCTAAGCTAACTTGAGGGGCACCGATAGCGTTAAGTGGTTTGCTTGTCTCACCTTTTGGCGAAATTTGCATGACATATCAATTACAATTAACGTATCGAATCGTTTTTTATAACCCGAGGCTGGATATGCATCACGACCATTCTTTAAAATTCATTTTGTCGAGAATTTTTTCACGCCGGCCGCTCCGATTAATTGCTTTTGTATTGAGAGCTCATGTACCGCAAATGTCGGCATCGAGACCTGTCATAATATTGATACAAAACCGTCTGCGGGCGCTTGATGGATATTTGATTATGGACAAGAAATCTCTGTCTTCATCCTTGAGATTGAGAGGAAAAAATTAACCCGGAGGTTTCATATTCCAGGCACATAGAGGGCACGTTACGTTGGTTAAATCAACGAACTTATTCGATCACATTTCGGTCAAGCCTCTTCGTACGCCAACGCAGCCGTTACCTATCGAATTTCTCATTTTTTTCCAAGCAACCTGTTGCAGTATGCAAAATTTTCTTTATACGAGGTCATTCGCCAGAAAAACTTCCTTTCCTAATATAATTGTCACATATAGATCTTTTTATCGATTACATCGATCAAATTTCGCCACCTTCACCGGAGGAGGGCCTTACCAACTGTGTTTCTGCACAAGGCACATTGGTACATGGCACGGGAGAGTGGGGTTATCAATGAACAATTTTGGCTCGTGCAGTATCTTTTACTTATAAAGTATTGTACTCAAACTTTAACATTTTTTTCCCTTGTGTAAAAATTTGTGTTGAAGCGCTAATGAACGCTTTGCCTGGGCTGGGTAGGGCTAGGACCCCCTCACCCCACCCCCGCGCAAAAAGGTGTACACTGTACTATTCACAACGCTTACTAATGTTCGCAATGCAGCATAATGCACACTATTTTAGCGATGCCCACACACCACAGCTTGTTATCATGCAACGCCCTCAGGTAATTTGTGAAATCTATTTTCACGTGAAAATACTCACAAAAATAGCTGAGGTCAGTACCGAAAAGAACCCTTAATAGCTGTATTTAGGCCCGAATTTCCCCTTAGGGCTACTGGTGTAATAGAGCTACCGGAACGCCAACTGCAGGTTTTTCCAGACCAAAATAATACTTGATTCTCTGGTTTAAAAAAAAATTTACGATGTGTGTAAAAAAAACACAAATAAATAAATTTGAAAACATAAACAAAACGACACTCTGCGAATGTGTCAGTTACGTAATACATTGGTCGTCCAAAGATATTGTTCCCCTGTCAATTTTTTCAGGGATTTGACTTTTTGCGAATTATCAGGAGCCCAAATTACTCATTGCATCAGGTGGGTGCATGACTATAAGACCACCTTGTTAGACTTTTCACGCGGGATTTCCAAACTGATTAAAGTTGAGAACCAGGTGACTTTCATGACATATACCTCCTACATCACAAAGAAACAGTTTAAAATGCAATTATTCAATGTCCGGTCAAATTTCTTTTAAACGTACACTGGACCTTTCGTTTTTTTTGCGTTGATTGCCCTGTGGCAATCCCAGGACCCTTTGCGCATAGCAGAGGGATCCGATTACTGGCAACTCATTCATTACACAACATTACATTACCCTAAGCTTGCCACGAGTAAGAACGACTAACATTAGTTTGAATTTAGTTTACAGCAAAACATTTATATTTGTCAGTGAAATTCAATCCTTTTTTTATCGATAAAGAGAGGCTTCGGAGTATGTTTGATTGAGATTTACCGCACTGGTTTACGAGTTTTTTCAAGTTCCGTTTATTAATAAATGGTAATTTAAAACTGGACTTCTTTTTTTGTTTGTCAGGCCAACTATTTCAACGCAGTGATTCAACATATGAATATATAGTTTTCCATAGCTAGAATGAACATCAGAGTATATTTTCATGCGTGATGGGAAACTGTGTTGAAAATTGTGATGACGAGATGATGAAAGGTCACGTGATTGCCAATCACTTGACCGGAACATTGGCACATGGCAAGATCAAAGTGCCCGGGTCAAGTCAAGTCATGTGCTGCGTTGTCTTCTTTTTGACCAAGCAAGTGATTGAAGTAAGCATCTTGCTGACAGAAGACTTGCCTAACAAGGGAGAAAGGAGACCACCCTTAAATCAACGGTATGGTGCGAGCAGGCGAAAGAGAAAGTTTGAATTAACACAAACTGATGGCGTGAAATAAATAAATAAATAAATAAATAAATGGATGAATAAATAAATAAAGGAAAACGAGAGACAAATCGATCCTAAGAGAGTAAATTTCACAAAAGGAAAACCTGTAAAAAAGAAAAAATGATGCTTCGATAGGACCAGTTTGACTGTGGAATTACCTCCAATAGCTGACAAAGGTAAGCTACATTTTTGAGATCGGGGCAATTTTAATGGATTCTTTGTACCTCGCAAAAAAAGTTGATCATAAGTTATACACAAGATAACTAACGTGTACCCAAGCAATAACAATTGCCTGAATCGTGATAATAAGTTGATGAGGCAATAGGTTGTTAGGTATATTACGTAACTACTCACTAAAAACGTGTTCAACGTGGTTGGTCCCACGAGCCATGAGAGGGTATTACAAACACGTGAACTTGTCCATTTTGACATCCATTATGACTGTCATAATTTTGTTACCATAGACATTTATGCAGCTTTTCCCCCTTCTCAGTTTGATGTAATTTTTTAATAGAAGATTGATCGATTATTTTTCAAGTGGATGATACGAATAGCACTTGATAAAAACATTCAATCAAAACTTCATGGTGTCAAGAGGTTCTTTGGAAATTACGCATGGGCGTCGCGTCCTACCACACTCTAGCGTCGCGTTCTCCTTTAGATGAAAGACCCCCCTTCGTACGAGAGAGGACCGGGTAAGTTTGTTCTCCTTGTTCGTACCCAGGGATTTCTGGGATACATTTCTAATATGGCGGCTGTTTTGCACGGACGGCGAGTAGTTGACTTGCTTCCGGTAAAAATTGTGAGTGAGCGTTTTTATCTCAGTCACACAGAGATAGTGATTTTTTTGATAGGGTTCCTTTTCGTGTGCACTAGGAGCCTTAACATTCAGATCCAAGAGCATACATGTACATGAAGCGTTGAAATGTGCACTCCGCGTGCTTTTGATTGGAGTCATGAGAAATGTATTATTTTTCGGTGGCTTAGTACCGGTTGATTTTTCCACTAATGTCACGCTTTCCTTCAGTCAGTCTGTATGTTGCATGGGAGAGGGAAGGGGGGGGGCATTGTAATCATTTAGAACAACGGTGCACTGTACTTAACTTGCTGTCTGTATAATTTACAGATATTTGGTTGTCAGCATGTTCGATGTGCACGTTTGGCCAGGAAAGTTGCAGCCTCAAGTTCTCTGTCTCCTAAATCTACAAAACAGGTCAAAGAGCCGGTCAGACAGCCACATAAACAGCTAGTAAAACGAGTCAAACCCGATATGGTAATTCATTTATAACTAGCCTTGATTCTTATTCTTGGTTTTGTAGCTATTACCTTCAACCTTTTTCACCTTAACATCAGAATGCATATTCTCCATACTGTTCTCTATACATTTATCAAGGTGCTTTAAAAGGAGACTTTGTTTAACAATCAAGAGCTTCTTAAGTTTCTGACCATTTCCTTTATTTACCTGACCTCAGTGAGTGATTTATAGGTGATACAGAAAGGGGACATAAGATGCTAGTTAATTTTGCGGGTTAAAACATTTCTGTTGTTCCACAGGCGGCCCAAGCTCCAGCTGTGAGATGATTATCTTACGCAATAACGGTCATGGCGGAATTATAAGAGTTTGTATGGGAATATTTACGACCGCTCTAAGGAATAAAAAAATACGTCAAATTCTCAAAAAAAATACCTCACCTCGCTTCCACAGCGTATTGCTTGTTATCTGACCGCTTACTTTGATGAAAAGAGCCCATTTGAGCGAGTTGTTCATTTCGAGGTTTTCAACGTACATAAGAAAAGCCCAAGGCTGAACACTCCATTTCCGAACGCCTGAGCCGAGAAGCGAAAAATCCAAGCTCAAAATGACCGGGCGGCCACAAATCCAACGCAGAATCCAAGCACACACACTGCAGTTTCATTTCAATTCACTACAAACTCAATCTTCCCCGTGCAACCGACGCTAAGCCGTAGTTTGCTTCAAAAATTTCCAGTTTAGAGGTTTCTAACAGCCCGCGGCCACATCAACCTTGACACACGACCGTTGAAACCCTACCTCCTTTTCAAACTGAGCCTCGCCGGGGATCACACCGTCAGTTATTATCAATAAATTGTTTTAGAACCACGGGTCCCCTCCGGTCGAAATCGATCAAGAGGCTATTGTTTCGATCGGGCCAATCGAATTCGCCTTCAGAAATGTTTACAAATGTGTGATTATTTTCGGAGTCAGAGGAAAACCTGGCAAGGATTTATACCAGTATTCAATTTAGTTCTATCTGGAAATACCTATTTTAATTCTGCCAACAACACAACTGTTATTTCGCTTCGTCCGCACGAGAATGTGAGTCACAATAGAACAAGTCGCTCAGCCATGTAAGTATTCAGTTTATTCTTAGTTGCCGGCTACGCTAAATTTCGCACTTCGTCTATGTGTTTCTTGCCAAGTGCCCTTGTAGATACTTATTTCTTTTACTTTAGGATAAAACAATAGCCTCTCGATCGATTTTCTTATGTACGTTGAAAACCTCGAAATGAACAACTCGCTCAAATGGGCTCTTTTCATCAAAGTAAGCGGTCAGATAACAAGCAATACGCTGTGGAAGCGAGGTGAGGTATTTTTTTTGAGAATTTGACGTATTTTTTTATTCCTTAGAGCGGTCGTAAATATTCCCATACAAACTCTTATAATTCCGCCATGACCGTTATTGCGTAAGATAATCATCTCACAGCTGGAGCTTGGGCCGCCTGTGGTTGTTCCTGTACATTTGGAATCAAACAAAACAGCATCTTTGAAAATATTTGACATGCTAGCTCTTTCACTCCTTAAAAGCCAATCCTACTCCAAAGTCATGGGCCAATGCACATTTGACTAATTATTTTTCAGAGTTCATCCTTGTTTTGAGTTTTAGAGACCAGGTTATTTTACGTCTTTAGTGCAGGTATTTGACTGTTACGCTATAGTTTTTTACAAACTTTACATAATGTAAGTACACAAATGGCAAGTTGTGTGAGATACTCAGAACGTCACTCAGGCAATGATGGGGATAATATTTTGAAAACCTGAATCTTGTTGTCTTTTTTTGTATAACACACAGGATATGAAGTCTGCACTTTCAAGACAACTGAGCAGGAGGAGAGATTTGGCTTCTCAAAAAAGACCATCGCAGGAGCAGCAGAGTAACAAAGAGACAATATCAAAAGGACGCAAAGAAATTGTCATTGAGCCATCTTGTTCTGAGGTGCACATGCAGAATTTATATTGATAACTGTAGCAGTGAGTAATAAGATGGTGAATTTTTACAAGCCACATAACTAATGCTACAACTTCTAATGTAATTAGGTGTGGCAAATGGTGCAGCACCGGGTGCTAGAGTATAAAAGGTGACCCAAGGTTCCCCAAGGGAGGGCACGGTAACGAATCTTGCAATCTGATTGGTTCTTTAGCAGGTAATTTAGTGTTAACAACTGGGTTGAAAACGTAAATTAGCCACCGTAAAGAGTAAAAAAGCTGACGTTTCGACTGACGAAGGGCTAACGCTCGAAACGTCAGCTTTTTTACTCTTTACGGTGGCTAATTTACGTTTTCAACCCAGTTGTTAACACTAAATTACCTGCTATACTCTCCCACCGACGCAGCACCACAGTTTCTTTAGAAACTTACCCCTTTATGATTGGTTCTTTACCCGGTCAGTATTTTCCTATCTCTGCCCACGGGCCACGGTAACGCTTTCGTGAGTCGCCGAGTACATCCCAACTTTCGTCATTTTTCATAAATATACCTCGGTTTCCGGCTGGGCAGTATTTTTAAGCAAACACGTTGGTCACTACCTCAAGCCGATAAATAACTTATGAATCCTCTCTTTTCTCTATCAAATCACTTTGGTTGACAGAAAAATATTGGTTTCAGAATGAATTTGTTTAAACAATAGTGTCATTACGTTAGTTGACAAGCGGCCTAAAAACCGTTTGCAATTAATTTTAATCGTTCACAAAAAGTACCCAGAAAGTTGAAACGTGAGTTATTGGGTTTACAGTTAAACTGAACGATGGAACTTTCATTCATTTAATATCTGAATTTTCTCGAGCAATTTGTTCATAGTGAAATAGCGAGCGAAGTTTTAATTTAAGTTCTACAACAAATATACGCTCCCGGTGAGTCTTTCCAATTCCGTTCAATTTGGACATTTGTACCGTAAATTGCACAACAGAAATTGAAGGAATTTTTCGAGAAAAGGCCGCATTAAATTCCCTTGTGTCTCGTTGGAGTGTGCCGTTCGAATTTAGTTTTTGTGAAGGAAAGACCAGAATTAAACACGCCATTACAGCAAACAAACGAGCAAACTCTCACAACTTCAAAATAAAAAAATTGAATTTACTCACAATTACTTTCCTCGCCGTTTACTTAATGAACAGAGGTAAATCTTCGTACATGAATGAATGTTCGATGAGAGTGAATAATACTTTCCGTTAGATCATTGACTGATTTTGAAGAAAACATTGTCGTGACAGTCCTTGCCAAACTAGTTCTGTTGGTTTTCAAATGTTCCTACGCTTTTTTTTTCTTGCGCGCTCTCTAATTGACAGGTGTCAGATTGTGACAGATACTTGTAAAAATAATGTTTCAAAGTTTGTTTGGAAGCCTTTTAAATCACCTTTATCGTTACGGAAATGAAAATGTTTCGCTAAGGCATCTCTCTTAAATTTGCATCACCTCTATTTTAACTACCATTTACCCACTCAAAAATTGTTCAGTTTATGGAAGATCTTGCCGTATTTACGTCCATAAATCATTCGGGTTCTTTCGGAAAGAATTTCGTCAAGTTTAAAAACAATAAATATGTTATTTACCGGCTAAGGGTCGGTCCGTATGGTGAAAAACTGTGACCTCGGTCTTGAAAATGCTGCCCGAGGCCTACGGCCTCGGGCAGCATTTTCAAGACCTCGGTCACAGTTTTTCACCATACGGACCTCCCAGCCGGCAAATAACATATATGTACAGACCTGAAATTCAGTTAAGATACAAATGTTGCAAAATACTTACATAAATGTAAACAATTTTTTAGTTTAACAATTGCTTTTTTTTGCTGATTTCCTCATTTAGAATCCTGCATTCAGGCCAGACAAAGATGTAGATATTGAGTTACAAGTTTCATCATTTAGCCCTCTTGGATTAAGAGAGGATGTGTTGAAGGCTTTGTACAATATAAATGTTATAAAACCCACAGTCATTCAGGTGCATGAATTTGGAAAATTTTGAAATTATTCTGAAGTAGTCATGGCTTGTTATTGTGGTGTACATGTAGCATTACAGGCCAAGTTTGTTATACAGTTAAGCCTTATTGTTTAGGTCTTATTTGGTTAACCAAATTTTCTTCAATTTTTATCTGGAATTATCAATTCAATTTATCACATCCATTTTGATATCACTGATGATCCTTGCAATCTGATTGGCTCTCTGCAGTGCAATACTCTAAATTGCATCTCTTTTCCCACCTAATAAGAAAATAACACTAAAGAAAACAAAAACAACCAATCAGATTTTAAGACGTGTTCAAAGTAACCAATCAGATTGCAGGAAAATGATGGGCAAGGAAACCATCAGGCTGAAGACCAACATTTTTTTCTAATCAAAATTTTGCAATTTCAAAATGGATATGTTCTGTTAGATGTAATGAATAAACAATTACAAAAACAACAAAAGGAAAGAAATATGGATGCAATTAGATGGTAATTGGTTTTCCTTTTGTGCAATTTTTTCCGAAATTATACTTGTGATTTCAAAATGAACTTGTACTGTAGGTTTGTTTGATTTTGAAATTGTGCAGATGATCTCAGATCAAATTGTACTCTACTCAGTTCAATTATCATTATTTATCATCACCTTAAGCTTTCACAAAGCAGAATTACAGTACTTAGCCAGATTTTGACAGCTCAAGTAATTTTGACTGTGGCAGTATCTTTAAAAGAATATCTGCTAATTTTACATTTCAAAAGGAATTCTCAGAGCACACTTATCAATTAGCTTATTTGTAAGTACTGACACACAGAAATACATTTTTGTTACCTAAAAAACTTGTTCAAATGTACATATTTAACACATAGAAATTCACTAAAATTTTGGTTTTAAATTTGCAGATGGTAACAATTCCCCCATTACTTAAAAGAGAGCATGTGCTTTGTGCTGCACAAACAGGTATTGAACTGGTTAATTGCTGTAGATAACGGGACAAATTTATCAGGCAGGGGTTGTCACCACCAGAACAATATAAGCTGCAGCACACCCGACTGCAAATCCTATTGTGCGAGCCATTGAGGCTGTCGATTTGCTAACTGCAATTCCTATTGTGCGAGCCATTGAGGCTGTCGATTTGCTAACTGCAATTCCTATTGTGCGAGCCATTGAGGCTGTCGATTTGCTAACTGCAATTCCTATTGTGCGAGCCATTGAGGCTGTCGATTTGCTAACTTCGGCGACGGGATGAGCTGTCCAATGTAATGATAAAAAAAAAATCGCGGATTAGTGACTTTTATTAGAACAGCTTTCAACTGAATGTAATAAAACAAAAACCAAAGTTTTAAAAACGACCAAGCTGAGCAAAGATTAACATCACCAGCCACTTTAACAATCCCAAACCCCTCCTCCCCTCCAAAAAAAAAAAAACCTACAGAGGAAAGAGGGCAAAGCTTGAGGTGTCAGGTTAGCAAAAGAAAATAAAACGCTGTGACATACAACAGAAGGGAACTTACCTTGTACTTTAAGACTGAATTTGCTCTGTTTCATTTCAGCATGGTTTGCGGCAATGCAATAGTACCTGCCCTCATCAGCGAATTGCACCTTCTTGATGTGAAGAGTTCCATTAGGGAACAGAATGAAACGCTCTCTATCCAGCTTGTCCCTTCCTTGTGCTTCTTTGCTCCAACTGATCTTGGGTTTAGGATCACCTGACGCATTACAATGGAGCCACAAATGATCGTCTACATAAGCCATCGTGTTCTTCGGCCGCAGGACAAATGTGGGATACACTGTTGGAAAATCACTAAATTTCAGCCGTGACAAAAATAACAAGGATGTGTATAACAGTGAATGCACTATCACTTCAGTAAAATTGTTAAAATTTTAATTCCACTTGCCCATAATAATTTGATTATGATCTTACCATGAACAGAAATGTTAACATAGCTCTCTGCACTGCTGAAGGAATTTTCACCCTTACACCAGTAATGGCCCTCATCTGCTTTCTCAATTTTTTTAAAAATCAGCATGCTATCTTCTTGTCTCACTCGTTTTGGATCAATATTTACACCTCCTTCTTTCTTCCAGGTAACTATAATGGGTTGGTGTCCATCAAAGTCACATCGGATCTTTTGAGGTTTGTGTAGGGTGGCAATCACTTGGTTGGTATGGATACCTCGCAGCTTTACTTTTGCTGAAAAGAAGGAAAATTGACCAAATTAGCATCTACCCTGTTTCTATCCATTTTGTCTTGTTGTTCGTTCATCTAGTGGCTGATAAGTTACATGTATATGTGAATGATATGTAAATGACCATCTAATCATCAGTCAAAACATGACCTTACTTACCATATACATCAACAGTAGCCTCCGCACTGTCTGACCAAGATGCTACATCCGCTGAACATTGGTATTTTCCTGAATCTTCTGGGATAACTTTGTTTATGACTAGTGTTCCATTTAGATATTTAAATATCCGCTTCTTGTCAACCTTGAGAGATTTGCCATCTTTGTACCAGGATATGTTGGGGGTTGGTCTGGTTTTAGCATTGCAGTCAAGAATAGCCTTTTCATCTTCCTTAATAGATAGGTTTTTGGGTTTCGAAGCAATCTTTGGTTGCTCTAAATAAAAAATAATATAACTTATCAGGTTTCAATTACAAACTACACCTTCCACCTTTTCATATGACAAAATGCCAAGGAACTACCCAGGAATTACCATATTTATTTAATTACCCTAAGGATCAGTTATATATCCCTAATTCTGCAACCCTTTGCCTCATGGTACCATAGCTTCTGTCCCATTTCTACCATCAAGGTTTTATCTAGTAACAAGGAAGAACTAAGAAAGAAGTCTACCAACAAACAATCCATAGTCATGGTTTCACTTCAAACAAACAATTGTACATAGAGGATAACCACACATTGTGAACATGTACCGCATCACAGCCAGTGCCAATAAATACTCACCAACAACTGTAATTTCAACAGTCTCTGATTTGTTTCCAGCCATGTTTTTTGCTGTGCAAGTGTAATTTCCAGCATCATTAAGCTTTGCTCTATTGTTCCGAAGAGTACAACAACCTTTTATATCAAATCTTTTAGGCAGGGTCTCTCCAGCTGCCTTGAGCCATGTTACTGATGCAGCTGGCCTTGCTTCAGGTGGGTCACACGTTATTTCTAGTGGGTCATTGAATAAGACATATACTTTGGTACTGTCCAGGGTAACATCATTCAAGTCTGCAGAGAAAAAAAAAATTTCTTTCTTTCACTACAACAAAAACATTAATAAAAAATAAACTGGTTTGTATGGGTAATCACATGATTTTGAGTGCAATTTGGAATAAATAAGCACAAGTTAATTTTTTTAAAGACTAGCAAAATTGTAAGAGCCCATAGGGCAAGTGCAATTTGTGGTCTTTGAAAAAATTACTAAGTGCTTATTTATTCCAAATTTCATGAGAAAAATCATGTGATTATGTGTTAATAATAAACATGAAAAAATACAAGATGGCTTATCACAATTAAGCATAAGCAAAGCGCATGCATTAAGTGCAAAAATAATTTATTCAAACCATGCATTCGGTCAAAACAACCACACATGATCAAAACAATTATATGCAATGATATGTTCACATCTTTAGGCCACAGAAAAATTCAAAGTCTGGCTAAACAGTTCAAGGAATTGTTCAGTCTATGTCTGAATCACTTTTGATGAAATGGAATTGTTGTTTCTGAGGTTTAACCATGCTTGTTTTTAATTTGGCATTGGATCACTTGAGCAAAGTGTTAAGCTGGGTCGGTTCTTAATTTTCAATTTCCTTAGCAATTCCCTTCTCTAAACACCACTTTTTCCAAACCAACAACCAAAAAGCAGTGTTTTTTTACAGTATTTTCATTATTTGAGCCGTTTTCAGTTGCAGTGGCGAAAGAAAACCTACCTAAAACACTGGCCATTGTTTCGCCGACAAATTTTAAAATTTTGTTGTGACATCCAAGGCTCACATTTGATTGGTTATCCATGAGTTTCTTTGATTATTGACCAACCAGAATGTCTGATTTGTTACTTTCTTTGCACTGAATTAACTCTCTTCTGCACTGAATTGCCTGAAAACTGCATTTATCTTAACCAATCAGAACTGAGTAATTTTTTCATGTATGTTATTAGAAACTAAAGAAAAAGTACCTAAACCCCTAAGGATCATGAAGGAATGTTTGGAGCAAAAAGTGATCAGGAATCTCGTAAAAACAATTTTTTGGAAACACAAATAACCTAACACTGGGATGGAATAACAATTCTACCTGATATCAAAAGTTGATTTTTTTTAAAAAAATTATTTTGTCCTGGGTTGGGTTTTCATGCATACAGCTCCAAAGAGCAGGAATCAAGCATATTTGATTACATAAACGCACAAAAAATCAAGATGGTCACTTCCCCTGTGATGACAATAATTTCTACCATCTCCTTGCCAATTTAGAGCAGTTTAAAGAGTTTTAAGCAGAAATCTAAGAAAGAGAGATTTCTTGGGAGTAACCTCAAACATTCTTTACACTAGTCTCTTTTTTAAGTACGAATAAACCACGCCAATAAATAGATATGCCATTGACTTACAAGCTTTTATATAAATAATATGCCATTGACTTACAAGCAAGTCTCAAAACACTTTCTGTGGTCATTTGCCCAACCAAGTTTGTTGCCGTACACTTGTATTTTTCTTCATCTTGCTTGTCAACATTTGCAATCACCAGTGTCCCATTATCATGAATTCTGTACTTAGAAGAGCTTTGCAATGGGCTACGATTACTTCCTGCATACCACTTTATTTCAGGAGTTGGGCTGCCAATAGCTCTACAAGGGAGGACTGCTTCACTACCCAGTAAAACTGTTCTCTCCTTTGGAGGAGGAATTTGAAATTGAGGATATTGTCCATCTATTGAATAAGAGAAATTATACGATAAGTTCCTTGAGAATTAAGTATTTAACATCTAACATATATCTGAAACACAATATGATGCATATCTAATGACACAATAAGTCAACCCAGATCTATATATACAGCTTACAAGACCAACCATCCAGACACTCATGTCAGATAGTAAATTTACCAACAAGATAAAATACCATTGTTAGCCTTGCAAATGTTGGTAATGGAGCTGTACATGGCAAACAACCCTCAGCTTCCCTGAAAATTTGTTCAGAAGTATGCATTTAAGCTCCTAATGTAGAACCGCATGATGAGAATTAAAGTGATTTGTCAAAAAGAGCAATAAAATAACCCCAAACATAAAATAATCTGCATCTTAGAAACATATATTAACTTATCAAAGAAGAGAAATGTAACAGCCCTTGATTAGCTTATGGAGTAGAGTGCTAAACTGCTGTGTAGGAGGTCATGAGGTTATGAGGTCAAGGGGTCATTGGGTTCAAGGGGTCACTTAGGGTCTTCAAACAACTGAGGAGACAGTGCTGCCTTTATTATGACATCCGCAAATGGTGAGACAATCTGGTTTTCTCGGATAAGGATGATAAACCATAAGCTTGTCTCCTGCATCTTCTTTGAACTTGTTAGCAGGAGACATAAAAAACACTCATACACCTCTTGCAAAGAGTAAGGAACACAGTCCCACGCATTATGGTCTGGCCTTGTTATTGTTTTCACAGACCCCTACTTCAACCAGCTTTAAAGCTGAACTGGGCAAGCTTGTCTAAATTTACAATATATAATAAATAAATACAGTATCAGCTCAGAGATTGTATACCAAATACTCACCAACTACAGTAACTGACAATGGAGATGTCGCACGTCTGGTATCTGACCCATCCAGGGTGGTTGCTGAACAAGAGTATTCACCACTGTCTCCTACAGTTGCATTGTTAATATACAGTTTTTTGCGACTGATAGTAACTCGTGCATCTGTGGCAACCTCTTTCCCATCTTTTGTCCAAACATATGTTCCCAAAGGATAAATGTAACACTTACATCTTAGCTGTAAATCAGTCTTTGTTAAGAATATTTTGCCAGTGGGCTTTATGCTTAATTGAATTGCAGAGCAAATTCCTGCAAAGAAGAAAAGATTTGGCATCAAGTACCATTTGTTATTTTCCTCAAGGATGCAGATACAAGATTAAAGTGATTAATTGACATCACTTTAAAAGCCATGCAACAGTAATGACAGATAGGAGTCATTCTCATGTGGCACATGTCAAAGCAAATCACTTTCTCAGTGCAACAAACAATATGCAAGAACTCAAAATGAGGGTTTATTTTGGCAAAAAAAAAAAGGGTTACAGTTAATATGGTTATTGAAAATGCCATTTCAATCTCAACTGGACAAAGTAATTTCTTATAGGATCCTTCTTTTGTTTTAATGACAGCATCTGTGTTTAAACTGCTTCTGAGGCTAAGTTTAAGCTCATTTTTCCATTAACCTTTGAAAGGGAATTAAGCTCCAACGGCATGCCCAGTATCTATTATTAAAATATGGCTGTCTGATGTGCTAGTTAATATAGGTTCTCTGACAAAAATTCATGAAAAAAATGTCAAATTACATACTTGCACTTTTACATAAAATCAACACTTCAGAGTCCTTACAAAAATGTCTGTGACCAATTAGTCCCTGCATCAATTAATATATGATCAAGTCCCCATCTGCTAGATTGTATTTGTAGGGATGCCTTTAAAATTTGCCGATAAAACATGGATAAAACTTTATTTTACTTCATGAGAACATGACCCCACAGCCAGTAGCCATAATTTTTCTCTCTCTCTAAGAACATCCATGTATGTACAACATGAACTGATTGAGGTGTCTGCCTTTAATATTTCAATACTAGCAGAATTGCATGTTTTTTTTATGAAGAAGACACCAAGAATTTATGTCCATCTCTAAAATCCCTCAAAGGATGACTGCTAGGTTTATTTCATCAAGCAGACTTGAAAATGTACGATATCTGAGATCATGTTATTATTGTTTCATAGTTAAGAATTTTATATTTCCTGGGTGGGGCAAATCTGAAACCACCCAGATTACAGAATGCGACAGATTTTGAGATACTTGAAATTCAGTGATACATTTATAAGCCTACTCCCTTCCAGAAAGATAATAATAAAAAAAAAAATGAAACCTTTCATCCCATTGACTAGATTGCCACTAGCTTCTAGCCTCTTTCAAAACTACAGGTAAAAAGAATTTATATGAAATTAGAAGATCCTCGCAGCTAAGAACACTACTGAAACTAGTAGTTGTAAGTAGGACCTGAAAAAAAAAATTTCAGGCCCGTACGGGATTTGAACCCATGACCTCTGCGATACCGGTGCAGCGCTCTACCAATTGAGCTAACAAGCCAACTGGGAGCTGGTCAATGAATTGGGTAAAAATAAACATCCGAGTGAATGAAGATTTAGATATATGAAAATTCACATATTTGCACTGCGGTGGAAAGATGAAATTAGAAGATCCTCGCAGCTAAGAACACTACTGAAACTAGTAGTTGTAAGTAGGACCTGAAAAGCAAGCAGTATCCATAGTATCTGTGATGATATTTATTTGTTGTCACTTGTGTCGTTTCGTAAGTTCAAAACTTCTACAAAAAGTTAGAAATGAATTAACTACATTGTTGCAACAACAGAACACTACATCAACATAGAACTAATTACGTCTGCATGTTCGAGTGATGAATTTAATAAACTATAATTTGTCTCGACATTTAGTCAGTTCATCTTAAAATCCGCAAGTTTCCATTCGCATTCATGGTAAAAAAATTGCTTCAATTCATTATAAAATAAATCTTCTCTCTCTCTTCGGCGGTATTGAGATTTATCACATCGCAAAAGACTTCCTCAAGATTTGTGAAGTTTTTTATGTAATCTCCGAAAATCATATTATGATTTATATGTTGGCAATTTACCCCACAGAACAGAAAATTGATCCAGATGGGAAGTTTGAAATTACCACAAAATATGTCGCTTATTCAAAATGTTATGACCGCGTGGAAATTTCCATCAGATTCGAACACTTGTGTTCGAGAAACCCACAGCTATAGCTCATATGATCTGAATTGGGAACTGGATTAAACCGCATAATGACTTGAACTAAATCGAAGATTTAAGTGCGACTTATTGATTTCTAGCTGGCAAAAAAACAAAAACAGATTATTTGATTTTTTTCCTGACGCAATGGGAAGAATACGACTGAAGGAAATTAAGAGAGTGTCTCTGTAAGAGCGGTCCGGTCGATTTTGCTTGAGACACGGATTTCGCTCGTTTCTCGTGTGTTGTAAGACATTCATGTACCTAT